CAACCTTCGTCGCTGCGTTTGTGACTTGCACAGTATGGGTGTCCAGTACAACGCCACTGCCACCACAACTACACCAACACGAGTCTATGGGGCAACTAACACAAGCAAAACGATGGCTTACCATCTACTCATTGCAGACCAATATGAACTCATCAAGAATAGACCAGAATTTAATGGTACCGCAGTCTAATAAACCGAGGAGACATACGAGCAGGGCTTGATAGATGAAAAACTCACAATAAACTCTGATGGTTCACTCACAGCGAGCTCAGGTACTCAAAGCCCATGAATCAAACCGGACGACAGAGTGGGGTCATGGAGGAGGGGGGAAGACGTCAAAGTAGTGGAGGCAACGCCAGCATTAACGGGCATGTTGATGTTGCCACGTGGGGTTTAGGGCCGGTCGTTGAAAACTTTGCGCATTTATTGTACTGCTCTACTCGCACAAGAGGAGATCCTGTGACTAGATTCTGCATGGCAGCGACTACACCGCCGGGCGACTCCAGATATCAAAATGGTCTTAGGAGGCAACCTTATAGATCACGTATGTCCAATATCATAAGACCGAGATGCGCGCCATACGGGATGGGTATCAGCCGCCTATATTGGTGCCACATGGTGGCTGACATCGATGAAGTCTCATCCCGTTGTCTCTATGATACTTCCTCTCTGACATTGTTCTCATACCGGGCTCATACTGTGATGATATTGTGAACTGCATCAAGTATATGTCTGAGCACGCCATCGCCTCTCGGCCAATCTTTCCGCTTTCCGGCGGACACGTGAAGGTTTGGGCTTGTTGCGAGGTATAAAGTTTTCGACGACGTCGGACTTACGGCAAGAATCATCTTTGTCCTCACCATCCTCGACCTTCACTGCACCTGTGGTCTACCTGCATCTCCATCCCTTGGTCCAGTACGGTTCGTCTCTGCCATCATTCTCTATCCCTTGCGTGTGGTACGCCCTTTAAGGCAGTTGCTCATCATTCTGTATAGTAGTCAATTGAGGAGGAAGATTCGGTGATTCACATCGCCTTTCCTTTGGTATGTTCTGCCCTTTGAATCATCTTGATCCACGCAGGACTTATGTGTTGTGCAGTTAGCGTTGTCTCAGTATATGGGGCCAGCAGCCAAGCGGGCAGGCTTTGTGACACGCAGGAGTCCGGGGTTGGTGTCGTCGAGCAGGTGAGTCGAGCAAATCGTGTACGTGCTTTTGGAATCCCTCGATATGTACATCTGCTGACCAGCAACATCGGCTGCCAGACTTGCCATGCTCACGCGAGCAGGACAGCGGGAAGGAGACAGAACAGGAGGGCGTCCGAGGGGACCAGGTATCGTGTTGGGCCAGTATCCCATGCCGTTCCGTGTAACACGCATCCTGTACATATTATGTAGTCTGTAACACGCTCAATATATTCATATTTGAATTCTACACCTATATGATTCGATGGCGATTATTCGAACATGAGGGATTGTGGGCGGAAGCTGGCGTAAAACCCGGCAGCTAATCAAACGGGCGCCATCGGAACCATGTAGAGTCGATAAAGGGGAGAACATGGACTATAGACAGGGGCGACCTGAATGGCATATGGGATCAGCGGTATGGGATCAAGAAGGTCTAATGTTATATTGATGGGAGGTACCCCGTGGATAGAGATTCGATATGGCCGACGATATGTGATCGGCCTCTCCCGACGATATCTGACACTTATCGCTCTCGCCCGGCGGTGTAGGACCGCAGCATGATATTCGTGACAAGTTTGTAACGCACGATTGACGAAAGACGTCGCGCGAGGTTTGTTCCATCCAAGCAAGGTCCATAGTATCATGGAAGAAAAGAAAGACTTCGAGCGCCTGTACTCTTGTCCTGGTCCTGCCACCCTCAAATCTCGATGTAATGCGCACTTCAGATACGCCTATAGCCAACGCTTGCCTGGGCTTCAATGTCATTCATGCCGTCATTCTCGGTGTACTCCAGGACTTTAAAGACATTAAACATGTCCCAAGGACAAAGCTATGCCAGGCCGCCCTCGATATTACCGTAGTAGCTCTAGGTGTCCGGTAAGCCCAGAGTTGTCGTCAATCGATTCAGCAGCTAACCAAACGCTCTGTACCAGGTAGCTCGGGGTACCTTTTCGACGTCTTCAGCCTTCGTAATCCGAGGAGAGCATTGAAGGACTTCCTTATTGAGGTCTTGGCGAAACTTCGACAGGCACGCGGAACCTCGTCCGTCTACTATCCTGTGGATTAATACTGTCCCATATAGAGATCGGAAGCATTCAAGACGGTTGCTCTTCTGCACGACTCGATGTCCGATCAGGTCTTTGTCGTGAACGTACCGAAGCTCGCAGCATACTACGACTCCGGTAGGCAGTGCCTGAGCCAGACAGTTTTGTCTTGGTCGACATTTCTTGAATTGCACGGCTCAAATACAAAGGTTCGAACATTGCCATATCTCCCAGGTAACCATTCCAAACAATGGTGTCTAGGTGTCGGTCGCCCCTCCCGGCATGTCAATATTACTATGCCACGCCCTTGTGAAAATTCAAAACGACCGGGACCTACCGCTAATACTGCCATTTCCTCAAGATGGAACGCGAACTCTCGGAGACATGGTCGCCTTCGCCGCCTGCATCCTCGAATTTCCGGTGGCATATGTTCCTAGCGGCGACGGTTCAGATCCGTTCCTCGCCGGTATCCCTCTCGATGTGTACGAGTGTGTTCTAGTACAACCTGTGCTGGGCCTGCCAGAACACATCATGCTCAAGTTCTCCTGCCCGCAAACGATTACTGCCGAAGTCTCGGAGTTGCGACCGGACGTTCTTGGGGAAAGACTAAGAGCGCGGTTCGCCGAACGGCTGGAGCGAGCGGGGTTCAGGGGAACTCTACTTTTACGACATACGGTAGAGACTATGGACAGAGTGGCTTTGTAACTATGACAACACTATTTGCATTCATCTCCATGCAGACACAAGGTCCAGGACTATTGTATTGCTGCACGAGACTTCATGAAGACGAAATACTATGAGTACGCGCTTCAACCCTGATTCTGCCGGCTGCTGAATGACGTTTCAAGTGACGTGAATCGAGTTGTACTGACCTCCTGAGACACAGATGAAACAGCGCCATGTCCATGACCAGGTTGACTACCATGTGCAGTGTCGTGAGTGAAGCCTGTCTGTATCTGTGTTGCAGTATACGAAGCCAAATCTGGTTTTGGTGAAGAGGAGGAGGAGGTATGCCTGGTGCGTCGCTCTTCGGCAGTCCGAAATGAACGATGATGGTGTCAGTCCCTCGCCTGCGACGGCGGAGGTAAAGAGCTTACCGTGCACATCCGAAGGGAGTTCAAAGGCTCCTACTGTAGACAGCTTAGGGAGCACGACCGTATCCGCGGTTTCCATTTGTGCCAACAACATTCTTGAGCTGTAGTCACCGGCTAGCCGAGGCATCTCGAGTAGGTGGGCCTGGTGGATCATCTTTGGGACATCTTGCACCACTCGTATCAGTTTCAAAGCGGCGGCACGGGTCGTACGATCGGACGAGGAGTCCGCGACCAGACGGCTAAGCGTCGGGAGGAGGGCGTGGTAGTCGGACCTCCATGGGTGAGTGTCCGCCATCTCGGAGAGAGCCGTCATGACTTGGTGTTGTGTATCAGCGCTCATCCTCCAGGACGTATCGGATAGAACGACCTCAGTGGATGTCAATACACTGTGAAGGAGGGTCTGAGCACGTCCTGCTTCGATCGCGCCAGGGATTGACTGAACCCATCGGATGACGTCGATGAGACCAGTCACCGTCGCGAAATAGTCTCCAGCTAGAAGACTATATCTCCAATCCAGCCTCTTGGCGACTTCGTTCGGAGTCGTAGGAAGGGCATCGATGACTACACGATAAGAGCCGCCCTTAGTATCAACTATTCCCATGACCTATAAAAGGCGACGTACTGCTCTGAAGTATATCTGCGTTTAGGCCACGCAGTCCCTGCCCACCGGAGCGGAAATCCAACTGTTTGACGTTGGCGATCAGTTTCATGAACGCATCGGCGGTGGCAACGTCGGCGACCACAAGCTTCGCTAAGGCGTGTAGGAGCGATGCGCTATCGGTCGTGCGGTCTGAGTGAACATGGGAGAGATGCCTCTCTGGGCCTATCGTGATTGGTGGGACGAGCGCAATGACTTTCCGAGCGATGTCATCGAAGGCCCTCCTGGAGGATGGTCCGATAGACTCCGCACATTGAGGCACCAGGATGAGGACTTGCTTGAAGAGGAAGGTCTGGTATCGTGCTCTTCGGCGACCTTGAGCGAAGCGGACATCGGCAGAGCGATCGCTATCGGGGTGCGTAGAGCCGAACAGATCTTCTACTGTGGTATTCGTGTGCAGGAACTGTACGCATCCCCGGAGTGTGGTAATCGGCTCGAGACTCTTCATGCAACGCGCCATCGTTGTTTCGAGGAGGTGGTCATCTAAGGTGATCTCGTAGACCTTCTGCAGCAAGCTGAAGTCGAAATCTCCTGCGAGGGCGTGTGTCTCGTGCTTCTCCCTTATCTCCCAAGTATCAAACATACCCCACGTTCCTTGATAGCGAAGGGCGCGACGGACAACCCGCATTACGGACCAGCAAATGTCTCGGATGACGGTTGAACGACACATACCCATGTGATATGCGGTTTTATCGATAGCCACGAGGACGAGCCTGATGAGTCCACCTGTGTATTGTACGACGATGTAAATGCACAAGGCATTGGGAGATTGGTATGAGCAGTCGGCCCTGAAGGCTGGCAAGACAGTTACCGCGACGTTGAAGGATAGGAGCATGGCAACGAGGACGGAGGCCACAAGAGCGACTTTGGGATGAATGTTCCAGAGGAGGACGAGCAATCCAGCGAGGAACAGGATTAGGGCGAGCTGCAGGAGGGCGGGTAGGATTGTGACGATGGTCGCTACGCGCCATTTCGTTAGATTTTCGTAACGATACTGTCGTAGTCGGGCAACTTCGCGGGAGGTCCCTGTGAGGCCGGAGCTGTATTGGTGCAACCATTGACGGACCGTGATAGCCACGGAGGACGCGGAGAGTGTACAGATGAGGGCGGAAAACCAAAGGGAATTGAGCCATATGGCGTACGAGGGCGGTGTAAATGGTTTGTTACCACCCGGTGGAACCTTCACCGTCGCATTCAAGAACGGCGGAGAGTAAGTGTATCCATTGATCTGGGAAGACATAGCGACAAGGGTAGCGAGCATTTCGCCTTGTTCGTCAGGCTGGAGTAGCAGATACGACTGCACATTGAATGCAGTCAAAACAGCGGAGAACAGACCAGCCTTTTGAGAATCAGTTTACTCTCCCCGCCCTTTAACCGCAGAAGATAACTCACGAAAACAAGGAGCATATCAATCTCGCTCTTCCAACGCTGCACCATCTCGTCGCTGTGTTGCGCGAGGATCCGCGCGCAACGCTCCCAGTCCTCCCCACACTGATCAGGTTCATCTGAGGAAGCCGGCTTTGGTTTCTCAGCTACGCTGTCGGGTCTATCGGATGCACCCTGCACGAATAAGACTCAGAATCTATACTTCTTGGTACACCCAGGACGACTTACGACACTACCGTCTGCCGGATTACTGTCTACCCCATCGGGGCTTATCTGCACTCGTTGCATGTGAGGATGTTGTTTCCCTTTGTCTAAGCGTACGTATTGAGGTCGTAGATATGGCGAGACACGGGTACAAGCTGAGGACTAATAAGTCAGAACGCATGTCGGTAGCTGTCTAGTTATAGTCAATAGACGACGTTGGCAGTGCGTGATAGACATCCGTCCACTCTGAACGACAGGGACTGCACAGCTCATTGATATACCCGAACTCGACATCGCTGTGAAACGGCGAGTGAGAGGAATAGATACAAATCAGGTGTAGTTCAGAGAGAAGAGGCAAATTCTATTGGGTCATCGTCGTGAACAGATGGATCAGTGCTAGCGCTGAGGGCCGGAGGCCAAATCACTAGTCTCGTGACCAGACGTTCGGAGCCTGAATCGGATGCGAAAAAATCGGAAGCATCCGGGCTCCTGAACGTCTGGTGGAATCACCCCCGTGACTCCCCCATCGGTGACCAACTGTGACATCTCCTGCTTGCGTCCCACCGTCACTTAGCTTCCCGTCCGCGAGCGTCTATGGAACCCGTGGAGCCGAAGAAGACCTCGAGGAGCACCCCAGCGGCTGGGGAGCCCTCTTCGACGACGACGACGACGACGACGACGGCGACGACGACTATGCACCGTCCGAGTGCGACAGCGACCGGCTCTCAGACGTCTCTGAGTGGGACCCGGTCGAAGCAGCTCTCGAGGATCCCGCCCCGCCCATATACCTCTATCACACCCAATCGATGCGCGGGCGCTTATCGCACTCGATTTCCGTTTCCGGCCGCACCGTACTCGACCGCGTCAAGTCCATTCTGGCCTATATGGAGGGTAGTGGTAGTAGCCATGTACAGTATATCAGGACAAGCAAGACAGCATGACTTAGGGAGCCATTGTGGACAGTACAGGAGGTATCGCAAGCATGTAACGACAGCGCGGCGCTGCATCGCGCACCAAGGGCGCCCTCCGACATTCTCGGACTGCCCAGACGGGGCGTCGGTATGTGACACATGTCACCGATGGGGGAGTCACGGGGGTGATTCCACCAGACGTTCAGGAGCGCGGACGGTTCCGGTTTTTTCGCATCCGCTTTGAACTCCGAACGTCTGGTCACGAGACTACCAAATCACATGAAGTCGCGATCGGAGAGGCGCTCAGGGGGATCTAGCCGAGGAACTACATAGTTGTGGCAGATAGAGTTCAGCCACCCAAGCCCTCTCATACGGGACTGTACTGACGACCAGTATCGTGTACGACAAACTCAGCAAGACTTCAAGATGGGTGCGTACTCAGAGACTATGCTTGACAATGACACGCCTGGGACGCTGAAACCTTGCTCGTACGGAATACAGTTCGTTACGCCGCCGCTGCCCTCGCCACTAACCCCGAGAAAAGTGCGTTTGAAGGACCGCAAACTTGCGTTTGTTTTGAAGGGAGACTGACGGTGGACGTGGTGCGTTTGCAGCTTCCCGCGCCCGGGGTGAGTACCTCCGGACGCATTTCAAGAACATGCGTGAGGTTGCCGCTGCGTTGACGGGTTTGTGACTTCGGTTGGGACATGGGTTTGGGCGGGAAACTGAAGGGATGGCTTTGATCTGGATGCAGGCCTCAAGCTCACGAAGGCGTACGCCTACCTCAGCGACGTTTCCGAGCACAAGCAGGTCATCCCCTTCCGCCGGTTCTCTGGTGGTGTTGGCCGTGCTAGCCAGGCCAAACAGTTCAAGGCTACTCAGGGTGCGTCATTCACGTGTGTACGGCGGGGAATGTGGGCTCAATCTACTGGTGACGGCTAGGTCGCTGGCCTGAGAAGTCCGTCAAGTTCATCCTCCGCCTCTTGAAGAACGCTGAGTCGAACGCGGATGCGAAAAACCTTGAGCTCGAGGACCTCTACATCAAGAACATTGTCGTTCAACAGGCTCCCGTACGTACCGTCTCTTGTCTGTGCAGTATGATAACAATCCTGACCATTCTCGTCTTCCTTTCCCATCTACCAGAAAACTCGCCGCCGCACGTACCGTGCGCATGGTCGTATCAACCCATACCAGGGGCACCCTACTCACGTTGAGATCATCTTGTCGGCATCCGATGCGGAGGTCGAGCGGGCGAAGGACAAGGACATTGTTGCCGCTTCATCACTCTCCGGCCTCAACAGGCGACAAGTCGCCCGCAGACGGATCGAGGCTGCGCGGGTCCCCGCTCCGGCCGCATAAGTCCGTGATTCCGTCCGTTGATAGTGCGGTGTTATGGGGAGGTTGTTGGTGGGAGCCATGCCATCTGCTTGCGACGCATTGGTCGTGCATCGTTGTCTTCATACATATGCGTATGCCATGTCGCGAAAACGAGAAGTGAGCGAGCGATACTATACATGGATTATGCATCTTTCCTTGCACTTGATTTGTCGATACACTCAGGGGGTATCATGCATGCCGCGACATGATTGGGTATGAGGTCAGTATGAATACAAAGGGCATGGCTACGATAGCGAACGAATAAGATAGTAAGGGACAGGTGTAGCGGCAAAGGCTACTTCTTTTTCTTCTTGCCACCTCGCGCTGTTGAGCCGCCTCGTCCGCGGGCTGCGGTTGACCCACGTCTGCCTTTCCCTTTGCGAGGCTGCTTTGACGCTATTGAGGCAGCTATGCCGAACGATGTCAGACACAAAAGGGACAAAAATACGCGACAACATACCTGGTGATTGCCTAGCTTCCTCTTCCTCCTCTGCGTAGTCGTCCCCTGCATCTGTTCCCGTCGCAACGCTGTCCCTTGGTGTCGGTGCAACGCTCTCATCCCCACTCTCCTGCGTCAATGCGCTGCTATCACTGTCCCCGCCTACAAGCCCCGCCATGACCTTGAGCTTGCTCTTGCCCTTGCGCCCGCCCCGGCCAGACTTCGCGTTAGCCGCCGGTGATGGCGCTGGAGAGGACGAGGGTAATGAGGCGGACGCGCGCATGCGTCGTGCCGATACGAGCTGGTCGATCGTCTCATCTTGTGGGAGGGTGAACTCGCCGCGGAAGAAGGGATGGTTGAAGATGTTGTCCGAGGGTGAGGGGGACGCGGGTTGTTGGAAAGGCGGGGTGCCTGCATGGCTCTCGCCTGGTACGTCGTAGCCGTCTGCCTCCTGAGTGATCGCGTGCGCCCCGAAGTAACATTCCCCACGCGAGGGTACGAGGTTGTCAGTCAATCCATCCCGAATGATTTATGAGTATGATAGTCGAGCATGATGAGCGAACAGAGAACGGGGCAGGCGCGAGCGGCTCACTGACGATGTTCTCGAGGACGTCGAGGTCGTAACACGTGCGCAACTTCCGCCACAACTCATCCACCTCCACTAGCCGGCCTGTGTCGCGCACGATGGAGTTGCGCATTGTGAGGACGTGGAAGTGCCGGTGTATGCCTACAGGGCGCGCGCGCATGAGGGAGCGAAAGAACGCGATCTCGCCTTCGACAGTGTCTAGCCAGGACGTCTTTGGCTCGTCGACGTCCAAGTTCGTCGCCATGTTGGCAGAATCGAAGGAGGACAGGGAGGGGGCCAGGGGTAGGGCGGGTGGCGGAGGACGGTGGATGCGTGGTGGCCGGCGGTGGCGGGGAACGCGTCGCGTCCGGATCCGGACCGAGTGGGGGCGTGAGCGCGGGGCTTGGTCGACAACCAGCGCCATCCTCACTACTCAACGTTACTCAACTCTGAGCAGTGTCCTGGCAGTTGTTGCTGTAGCTCCAAATTATCCTTGCGGTACAACTCATTACATTGCGTCCAAAGGGCATACATCAGTGGCCATTGCAGCCATCTCAACAAGGGCGACCAGACATACTCAGACTAGTCCAATGTGCCTCACTGGGACGCTCGCCGCATCCTAGCCTATACAAGATCATGAGGATGAGCCAACGCAACGGTGAGTTCTCCTCTTTGACGCCTGACTATCTGCAAGTAATCAGGTTTACACCAAGGGGTGTCCCTGAATGGAATTGGCCGTAGAGATTGCCTCGACAGTCCGCATTTCAGGTACAGTGCGAAGAGGGGCCGGCGAAGCGACGAATCTGAAACAGCAGCTGTTCTACATATGTACAAGCTTTCGTGTACAAGGTTTTCGAGGGCTTCGCCGCAGCTGCGCTCTGGACTGATTTTTGAAGCAACATGCGACGATGAGGCCTACCAGGTCAGCCCACGCAGCACTGCCTACCCATTTCAATCCCGAGGCGCTGCTGCGAGCCCTCAATGGATGACAAGGAAGGCATTACAGATTCGTGCGGCATACTTTCCGAAGCAGTGTAAGGACAGTAGCGTGTCCAAGCCGTATGTGAAATCTGATATACCTCTATTTTTAGATTCCAGGACGTTGAACATCCTGGTCATCTGGACCCAACTCGATGTCTCATCATGTTGCGCAGGAAACGCAGAATTTGCGATTGGATAGGTGTCGTCTATCGATGAACGAAATGCTGTTCTGGGCGCAACACTCCCGCATCGCCTTAACTCCGACCTACTCGTATCACACCAAGTTCGATCAGGTAGTTCCGTAGCGCTATGCAGTGCCCTTGCGCTTTCCATCTTGTCGGACACTTCATTGACTGTTCGCAGGCTGCCTATCGAGCCCTTCTGCGGTCGGCTCGCTCTTTGCATTGCAACCCATGCTCTCGCGAGGCCGCAATGACTGTAGGTAACATCTTTGTTGCCGCACACCATGCGATCAAACTGTGTCACTTGCATGCTCTGCTGCATCGACAGTCCACAGATGCCTGAACCTTCCAGTTGTCGCAACCGCGACTAAACTCTCAAAGCTTCCGCGTTCGATCCTGTGAACGATGTGGTAAACCTGTTCGCAGCGCGTCGTAAAGTGCCTTCTCGGCTACGTGCTACGCGGATTAGAGCAAGTTGTATGACAGATCTATCTTGCCGCAGCGAAAGCGTCTCTGGTCCTTGGAAACCGCTCATGGCCCCCGGGAGCAGTAAGCGTTGCGGTATAAGAGGCCGCACAGTCCGCAGACGACGAATCAAAGCAACAATCCCTTTCTTCCCCCGTACACTTCCCAATCAAACCCACCCGTCCACAGTCACCAGCAAGGAACGATCATGTACTACGAAGAAGAAACCGTCGTCGAGAACGTACGCAACCATGCTCTGATCTTACCACCGACTCGACTGATAGCCATACCTTCTTCTTTGTGTTCAGGTTGACTACAACAACGGCTACGAGAACGTTGCTGAGACCGAAGAGGTCCAAGAAGAGGTCGAGTACGACAGTGGCGGCCGCGAGGAGGTGCGCCTCTCCTGGCTGTACTTAAATTGTCAGCAGAACTCAGTGTCCTTCGCCAGGTCGAGTACACGGAAGAGACCGAGACTGTCGAGTCGAACTACTACGGTGGCGAGACTGAAGTCGTTACTGAGGCCGAAGTCGTTGAGGTAGGCTCTTTCTCGACGCCTATTTCCCGTCGCTGCAGCACTCATGTTCCGATTGCTTCCTAGGACACGTGGTAGACAAGCTATGCAACGATGCCCAACTATCCGGCGTCGAGTCTACTCGGAGTCTACTCGATGTCGGCGTTCAGTGGTCATACCATATGACAATTTAGCTTTGTAAAAGGGTGGTAGCTTTGCTCCAGCGCTCACCAGGGGATTGCAGTGAATGAAACTTACATGTACTCTAGCAACACAGCAGACTGCACAATGATGTTCTTCGCTGGAAAATATATATTATTGGGCACTTTCAAATATGTGATGGTGTTGTCCAAGATGAGTTGTCTTGAGTGCAGCCAGCTGCCATGCCAAGGTCACATTTATATAGGACAATGTGTCTAACAGCCCGAAATTCTAAAGGCGTCAAGATCAATCGCAGAAGCAGTTGATCATCTTTCGGTGTTTGCCGACAAGCGGCAGCTCGACATCCATTTGTACCTACGTACTGCATCTTCTTGGACTCTCTCGCTTAATTCCCCCGGTTGGATGTTGCGCATACATATATGTATGTCAAACTCACCGAGTCGAGTGTCGCCATCACAGCGACACTGACCGGTACTCTAGCTCCGTCGTGGGATCATCCCACCTGCTAGGTTTGATGGTCGTTGAAGATAACGGCCATGCGAATTCTCATGGCGGATATGGGAACTACAGCATGCGGAGCAGCTTCTTGCTCCCTTAATTTGCAGAATGGGAGCAATACTTGACGGGCTTGTCGGCGTATGGTTTGCAGCGCAGAATACGCCAGGTGCCAGTGAGTATCATAAATGCGTTCTTCCCTTCGTGAACAGCAGTGAGATAGATAGATGAACAGAACCCGCAGCCAGTCGTATCGCCAATCTGCCGATTTTGAAGTATTCTTTCCCATCCGAAGATCACCGAAACTTGTTCGCTATGGCGCCAAAGGTCTGGGATCCCACGTTCTTCGACCTGCAAGTCTATAAGTAGTTGTCTTCGCACAAGACGGAATCGTGTTACCAGCTCATAGACGAGTACTACGCCCATATTACACATGAATGCCGACCCAGGCCTTGACGTAGCGCAGATTGTGGCTACGCAACAGAGCATGTACGTTGACAGCGTTGTCCGTTAGCCTCGAGATTCGCTGACGTTCGCTTTTTAGAGTCAAAGACTACTATTGCACTTTGGCCGCCTTGAGTGAGTCTCCGCCTGTCGTTGGCTAGACCTAAGCCAATCCCCCACGTTACATCGTGGTTGATGATTTCGGCAGCATTGCTCGTGTTCGAAAATGCCATCACGCTGGATCGGGAAGTAGCCTTGTTCTGGAAGCGCAAGGTCACAGGGGCCTCGGCTCTCTTCCTGTCCAGCAGATATATCACGCTACTAGCTTACAGCGTACGGACCATGTTGATGGCCAATTGGTCATGTTCAGTGAGTGCATCCCTGTCACAGTGAAAGGATCAAGTCCGCTGAAATATGATTGAACAGAGGTGTGACATGCGATCATGACCTTGACGTAGGGAACTTACAGCCCTTCAGTTACTCCAACCTAACGGTTGTTGCGCAAATCTTGGCGTATACGCAGTATATACCCTGGGCATGTACGCTTTCTAGTTTATCTGCACACAAATAGCCGTCCTGAACCCACACGTATCATTATTGGCAGTCTTTTCGGCGTTGCGTGTATTTGCATTGTGCGATGGACGCGTTCGGTGGCCCACCGCAATCCTCGTTTTTGTTCTGTCTTCCCCGTTGTTTGCGATGAATTACGTTCGTACTGATCACGCTGTCCATCTGAGCTATACTTACCTACAATGTGATCAGGCTCGATTGCATTGGCTCACCCGCGTGGAAGACACCGTAGCTGGGACAGAGTGCCTGATGGCCGAGGTGCGCTTGCCAGAGGAAGTGAATAAATTGTAAGACAGTATCCATATTCTGACTGACCATCCCGTTACTCATTCACCGTGGAGATGTGCGTGCATCAATCCAGAACACCAGAATTTTCGTAGGCTCACTTGTCCTGGCGTTCAAAGTCACAATCGTCAGTCGCGGTTGTATCATTACTGCCGATGCAATTGTCTTGTGTGTCACTTGGCATACAACTTACTGGTCTACACGCATGGGGCGCAAGGTGCTTGTACATTTGACTGGCAGGAAAAGATCGTTTTCGAGCGTCTTGCTTCACGATGGTACGCGGGGGTGGTTGACTAATATCGCGACATCGCTGATCATCGCAGTACTATAGGAACATTGTACTTTGGGTACGTACAGGCTCAAGCGTTTTTTAAAGCTGTTGACCGTGCCAAACTACTCGGTTACCACAGGCTGTTGCTGACGATGAACATCATATACCTAACCCTCACGATGTTCCCAGTAAGCATCATCATTGTTTTAGTTCGCCGACCCGCGAACTTACGACCCACCCTCAGACTGAAGTCGATTCCCTCACGCAAGTCAGCTATGTGGTGGAATTCTCGGAGCCGTACGTCAACAAATCTCTCATTTACTGCATAAAGCACGATCTAACCGTGTCCCATCGCTGTCAGTCTTACGGCAATCCTCGTGTCGCGCTTTCTCTTGAATCTGCAAGCCGTCGGGCGTCGAACAGAGGTGTCCTCGCAACTGACAGCTGAGAGTTCGCCAACGCCGAGTGCCAGACCCGGTACTCTCATTTTCGCTAATCAGGTTGTTGGATCGTTGGGCTCCTTCCTCTCATCACCGACCGACGAAAATTATACATTCTTGGCTGAGGTTCGCGACTCGAGTGTCACGACACATAAATCTCCGTCTGGGAACTGGGAACTGTAGAGCTGTCATGTATTCTAGTACGTCATTGGTTCAGAAAAAGCAGTAACGAAAGGAACGGGCACTTATCCCAAGTAATTGTGCAACGGCAGCGCACTGCGGTTTGTTATACAGACAAGGTTACGATGAGAGTCCTGTCAAGCAATCTATTTATCATGCATAGCCGAGGAAAGTCTTGATGAAAGGCAGCGGAAGGAAGCTGGGATCAATTGTAAGAAGGGCGAACGAAGGGCAAGACGAGGTCTCCTGTCACGGAAAGTGTCTTGCTATAACCTCCCAGACTGACCGCCTCTTGAAGACGCGGCCCCATTAGCTCGATCCCGACGGAAAAGAGGTTAGTTACTCCCGTCGCTGGGAAGTCCTGACCCTGCACTAGCCGGATTGTCAGGCGCACCATAATTCCCCGGTCGGTGTCCCAGAACTCTCTAATCAGCGGAACGAAGCGGAAGCTCGCGCCGATGATTGAACCCCAAGCAGTGACATGCTTTGAGTGGCACGGATAGTGTCCGTTGGAGACAGTGCTCGCATCCGGCTCTGGAGGAATGTGATAGCTGGGTTGGCTGACTAGTGACAGCCGTTGTATTTTGGTGGCGATGTCCTCGAAGGCGAGGTCGACCCGCAGACTACGAAATAGTGATGACTGTGCACGACGAGCGACTGGGCACTCGTCGCACAAGCCGAGGGTGATGACAATGCTGGGGAGGCTGTGGCGATGCATGTGGACGAGTCTGATGGTATGGAAGCCCGGCTGCGAACCGGAGACATAAACAGAGGGTCTTCTATCGAATTTGTAGCCGTGCTTCATGACGTCGGGTCTGAGCCAGGCAGGAAAGGTGATGTTTAGGGGGGTAGAGCCGTCGGGGGCGCTAGTAGAAGAGCCGAGCAGTGTGGGGAAGGGGAGCCGTTGAGGCCGATGCGGAATGTACAAATCTTGAAGCTGTATCTGCTTCCCCACTAGCGATGGCGTGTTGCGTTCATGAAAGAGACCGCGGCGGTAAATCCCTCGCGGAACACGGTGACGGGCGTCGGAGTGGGTGTTTTCCAGGAATTGACCAACCAGGAAGCGGTTTCCTTGCGAGGAGGATAGCAACAGGGAAGACAGGGCATAGGTTTTCGACTTGTGCACGCAAGCAAGGATAGCAAGGTAGAGGGGACTTCCTGAGCTTGAGGTGGTGATCGTTAGGAGGGGGAGAGTTGCACGTATGCCATACCCAGTCACAGTGAACGTAGGTAAGGGGACTATGACACCAAGCCGCGCCGAAAGCTCGTTGGTGTCAATGGCTTCTATGTCACCACAACTCGCAAAGTCAACAGGAGAGGAAGCCAGGAAGAGTGAATCCCGGTGCCCATGGAGGAACGACTGGGAGGAGTTCCGTAATGACGATAGCGTGTTGTAGTCGGCCAAGCAGCGTCCCCAGACGAAGAGACTTTGATCAGGAGTGCGTCTCAGGATCTCTTCCTGGAGACGGATGAAGGCGTCGCTGCCCTCGCCATAGATCGTTGGCATGTTGACGCCGAAGATGCCCATGAGGGAGTAAGCCATGTCCTCTGCCCTTGTAGTGCGCCTCTTTGAAGCCCAAGACATCCGACAGGCCACTGACACGTCGTCAAGGGACTTCCGGTGTGTGAGGATATCCACGTCAATGCCGGTGACGCGTGTCACCACGTCTGCCAGGCTCGTCTTGCTGCCCAGGATGCTCCACTCCCTCGAGAGGAACATAACACATCTCGGCGCAATGAGCTCCTGGAGGGTCCAACCCCTCGTCCACCAGACGCTCGTTGAGAACGATGAACCCTCCTCGCACGGGTCGCGGTCGTCACTGACGTCGTGTAGGAACGCGTAGCAAACCGCCGATGCAGCATACCACGCATACATCGAGTTAATCCCTTCAGACAGCTCCGCGCTGCTTGTCTTGTCGATGCAACACGTGTCTATCCAGACCCATTCAAACCCGTTCTCCAGCGCGAACTCGCAGAAGTCTCTGATCTTCGGAGAGAGCTTCTCCAAGACTGCATCCCAGTAGTTGCTCGTTTCGAATCCATCCTCGAGATCTAGTAGGAGTCTAGCTTCCTCATGGACTCGCATGACGTCCTGGAATGATTGTTCGCCATCCTTCGACCAGACGTGGGAGAGGGTCGCAAAGGTTACCTGCGATGGGTCGCTGAACTGATGTAGGTTATACGTCCTTGCATTCAGTAACCACATTGCTGCGCTGATGATAGATGTCAGCGACTAGCAGTTGCTTGAGTGGAGTAGCTTACTACGGATGAAGATTTGGAGAGTTGTTGCTTAGGCCAGTACGTTGGGGCTGACCTCTTATGAGTCGGCTAGATGATCATCATGCAAAGTTCGATGTCAGTTCTGACGTGCGATCGGTAATAGACAAAGAACGAACTTGCGATTCTATGACCGGCACAGGCGACTCATAGCCAATGCTCGTTCCTAAGCAACGCTGCACCGCTCCGATATGCGTCATATACCTTGTCAACGAATTCGATGCACCTTAACGCACTGCCTACGAACGTACAGGGTGCGTCAGAAGCATCGTTGTGCCAAAGAAGCCTTAGCATAGCTTCGTGCTTCTGGCTAAAAGTAAACACGGACCGATGAAGCCGCACGACCTGTTCAGTATGGCGCCAAAGTAATGACAGATTTCTGCCATAGAAGGCGATTCAAATCGCCTGACGGCTGACATCGAAATTCTCATGAAGGGAAAACATAACCTCTGCATAGAGCTCGGCGACAGCCAGCAAAGAGGCGTGTAATGGAGTTCAACCGCAAGAAGCAACATCAGATTATGCACTGCAAGAGTAACGTACTTTCATGAGAGCTACCAGCTAAACCAACAGCGAAGGATGCGCGTTTGGAGCTCATGCATCCGTGATACAGCCTTGGCTCGCATTCTCCACGAGCTTGATGTACTTATACAGCGTGCCCTGCCTAACCTTGAGCGGAGGCGCAGTCCACTCGGCCCGGCGGCGCTCAAGCTCCTCGGGTGACACCTGCAATTCGATCGTGTTCTTGACCGCGTCGACAGAGATGGTGTCGCCGTCCCGGACGAGAGCGATGGGGCCGCCCACCTGCGCCTCTGGGACAACGTGGCCGATACAGAACCCGTGAGATCTGGTCGGATACGAACAAGGATGCACAACCATGCAAGGAAATCATAGAGGATAGCATGCAAGTTGTGATGAGCGAAGTGCCAGAATCGATGGCATGACAGATGAACATTACCCTCCACTGAAGCGTCCATCCGTAAGGCACGCAACATCGTGACCGAGGCCGGCTCCCATAATCAGACTAGTAGGCTTCAGCATCTCCGGCATGCCTATGGCATGATCGGGTACGTCAGAAGAGATTGGTTCAAGTAGCCCCGAAGACTAGGGCGGAGACAGCACCCACCTGGACCGCCTTTAGGACCGAGGTAGCGAAGCACGACTACGGTCTTCTCGCCCTTCTTGATCGACCCACTTTCGACTGCCTGGACGAACTCGTCCTCGGAGTCGAACGTGCGCGCCTTTCCTGTGAATGCAAGCCCCTCTTTGCCAGTGATCTTGGCGACCGCGCCGCCGGGTGCGAGGTTACCCTTCAAGATGCTGCCGAACCGAGATCGCATCAGCATGGACATTAGCCCACGACGGTCAAAAAGGGTCTACCGTAAGTGTCCCGTTTCCTTGATCGGCTTTTCCAGCGGACGGATCACGTCTTGGCGGCTGAACTCGAGCTCTCCATGTTCGTGTGTCCACCTGTCCAGATTCTCGCCGAGCGTACGACCCGTGACGGTCAGAATGTTGCCATCGATAAGCTTGTTCTTGAGTAGATACGCCAGAATCTCTAATGGGTGAAGCGCGACAAATGAGTTGCTGTGTATCCGTGTCATAGCGTGACGACGTACTAGGAATGCCACCAATCTTGTAGACGTCCTCCATAACGTACTTGCCGCTAGGCTTCAAGTCCGCAATGAACGGTATGCGATCCGAAACAGCTTGGTAGTCTTCCAAGGTGAGCTTGATGCCGACGGAGTGGGCGATGGCAGTCAAATGCAGTACGGCGTTCGTCGAACCTCCCAAGATCATTGTGAGCACCTAGGGTTTGAAGCAATGATGAGACCAGAACTATTCATCCGTCCACAGCATCACGTACAATGGCGTTTTCAAAGGCAGCACGAGTCATGATGTCACGAGGAAGGATGTTCTTCTCCAAGAGGTTGCGCATAGCGGGACCGACTGCAGCACATTCCTGCAGCTTCTCAGGATACTCAGCAGGGAAGGACGAGGAGCCGGTAAGAGTCATTCCCAAGGCCTCCGCAGCGCTAGCCATGGTGTTTGCAGTGTACATCTGTAATGACCGCGTTCAAAACGATGCACGCCGGATCAATGCGCATGTACTCACACCACCGCAGGCACCGGGCCCTGGACAAGCATGGCGCACAGTGTTGTACCGCTCCCGCTCAGCTTCCTCTGTTTTACCCGCCTGGAGGTACTTTCCGTACGACTGGAAGGCAGAGACAAGGTCCAACTGAGGCGCACCCTCGCAGGAACCGGGCCGGATAGTACCGCCGTAGACCATGATACCAGGACGGTTTAGCCTCCCCACTAAGTTCGAACGCGATGAGGACTCGCAAAATAATCATATATTGACGCGACGTACAAGCCATGAGCACACCGGGCATGTTCTTGTCACAGCCGGGCACGACAACCATTCCGTCTAACCAATGACCTCCGGCGGCGGTCTCGACCTGATCTGCAATGAGGTCCCGAGACTGAAGAGAGTATGTCATGCCCGACGTTCCCATGCTGATTCCATCGCTGCGCAAGGGTGTTTGAAAACTTCGCCTCAACCTACAGACGCGCCAAGCTAAAGGGCGTACCTGACACCGACAGTGCCAAACTGATATCCGATGAGGCCAGCGTCGACGACAGATTTCTTGATATGCTGGCCGAGGCCGAGCAGGTGCTTGTTGCATCTGCATGCGGTTGAGTCCCAAAACAATAGAAACGGAACGTGTATACGCACGGGTTGCCCTCGTACCTAGACCCGGTTAGTCGGGTCCGAGATACACGTGTTCCAACACACACTCACCACACACTTGCTATTCCTACCATAGCCTTATCGAAATCTTCGTCGTTTCGGATGCCATCGGTGTCATAGAGCATGGCCTGACTTGCGCCTTGATCCTTAGGTTTGGTGACCGTCCGGCTGTACCGGTTGAGGATGGGCCTTTCAGAGCATACTGCCGAAGACGTTGAAAGCAGACGACGAGGACTGCGCCTGAGGATGGAGCGGGCGGGGAGGGAAGAAGAGGTAGAAAGCATGGCCGCGGCGACTAGTGTCTATAGCGTGCGGCGCGTCGAGCAGTCAGGCCTCGCGCCAAAGGTCGAGTCACCATTGGCTGTGACAGCCCGTGAGCATGAGCGTGACTGCTGCCGAATTGGGCGATGAGCTCATGCAGGCGTTGCGGAGCACTGCTTCGGCGCCAGTCAGAGATTCACTCCGACGCTCGCGATTGCTCAGATCGACGGGGGACGCGACCTTTGACCTCGGCCCCCGTCCGCCTGCATTCTACTTACCAGACTGGTGGAAGATTGCTTTGGTCGGATTCAGGCTCATCATATGTTCGGTGATGCATTTCACACGCAGCCTTGCTCAGTGGATTCGTTTCCGACATCAAATCAAGCGCCTCTCGAAAGTCTGTTAGGATCTCGATAACGTTTCGTGCAAACGTGTTGGCGACCCCAAAAGTTTAGGTCCCGACCTCCCTGATCGAGCCTATCAGAACACAGGGTGATGTCGCGCCATGTGGAGGCAGCAGTCTCCGCCCAGAACGCGCCACCAGTCCGACAGAAAATTCTGCGCTCCCGAGGCTCAGACGATGTCCAGGAGCCCCCACGCGACAACCAGAACCTGTCCGCCCGTTGCCCGACGCCGCGCGCAGGAATTTGCGTGCGGAGCGATACCTCTCAGGCTACCAGGGGCGCGGCGCCACATGGACTATTCCAGCACGGTCAGGAGGACCGCTCAGTGTCTGTCACGCCGATCGTGTTTCGGGTAGACAGTGTGACCGTGACTCGTTCTACAGCGCAACGGCTAAACGGGTGCAGGCATCATCGCTGTGGTGAATTTCCACCCCGACAAAATCAGAATTTTCTCTGTCGCGCTGCCATGGCTGTCTTTCGTGCCGCTGTGGGCAAAGGGAAAAGCTCCCCGAGAGGAGTGTAACGGACGCTGAATATAATCTGTAGAAATTCGGACCGTGAGCGACGCTAGGACGACGCGCGGAGTGCTCACCTGAGTTTTGCCGTCGGAGTGCAACTGGTATCGATCGTGTCTGTACCGCGTCCCCGTACACCAGCGCTTGTGGAACAGCGATCTGGGACGTCTGCATGCTCCCCGGCTGTCCCCCGGCGCCGTCGTCCATGTCAATGGGCAGTGGGTTTGCCCCCGCCCAAATCTCTGCAGCGGAAGCAAACCTTGTCGGAGCGACGGTTCAGCACGACAGAGGTGTCCGCACCGCGGCAACGGGCTCTCTGGCTGGGCACCCCCTTTCCTCCTCGAAACGCGCCCGTCTTGGAAATCGCACCGTCCGCGCGATTCTGGGGCGTATGGGCCCTCTGTCATTTTCCCTCCTCTGATCTTACGCTTCTGCTCCCTCGCGCGATTCTTGAAACACTCATCGCTACCCGCGCGGAGCTACTGAGAGGATCGCGTTCGCCTGCATGGAGCGACAAGGCCGCGGGGGTCCGCCGCACGGTCACCGACGACAGAGCTCGCTCCCGCCCAGTCTCCATCGGTGGATCGTTCCGGGTCCTTCGCAACCTCGCAGAAGTACGACGGAAGAGGCTGCGAGAGGGTCGCCTGCGCCGGCAGAGGTGCGAGACGATCCTTGGAGAGATACGCCGACGGCCCTCGCGCATCCGATCTCATCAGCCCCGGCAGGCCAGCGACTCCCCTCCCTCATTTTGACGCAGGCGGTCTTCGATGAGAGCGCAGACAGCGGCGAGAGCGCGGAAAGTCGGCAACAGAGTCGCTCGCCTGCGCCCGGCGCGGTAGTTAGCCAAGGTGCAGCCTCCACAGCACGATCCTCCCTCTCGCTCCCCCTCCCGCCCGCGCGGGGCGGCGTCGTTCGATCGGATCCTGTGTATTATGCGTCAATTCCTACATATCCACATACTTACACCGTCCCCCCGCCCGGTCCACCTCTTCCGCCCATACTGTGGATTCCGCCCGAAGGTGCAAGGGGTCCGTCGAGCCAGGGTGCACCATCGGCCAGCCAAGATAGGGGAGATCCACCGCCAAATTTTCCTGACCCGCCCCCGAGCCCACGCTATGCGTCTCCCCCCTCTCAGCTCGTCGCCGGGCCTTCACGACTGCAGGAAGAGCCTCCCGTGAGTCCTACGAAGCGCAGAAAGAGACGGCCGAAATCGCAATTGGCGGTACCGCCGCAGGAGACTGCTCCAGTCCCAACGGGGAGTCAGCCTATCGACATCCCGCGGCGCGGATCTGGTTATAGTACGCGCAGTGAGTCTTCTCTTTACGGACCGCACATAGATGCGTGAATACGAGCCGAACTATCAGATTCGAGCAGCCCCTCTTCAAGTTCTCGAGCGCCGCCATCAGGGCCCCCTACCGGAGAGCGGGTGGTCCGCCCCCTTCCCACCCGTCTTCACGAACGGGCGGCTTCTCCCCTACGAGTGTCCGAGAGCAGCCGCAGGAGTCCGCCGTCCGCGTTCTCGTACTACGAGCCTGAGTTTAGCTTCTCCGTCGGATCGACCGCCTACGATGTAACCACGTTGCTGCCGTTGAGGGGGGCCACGATCCTGTCCCCTGACGGTGCTGAGCCGCCGCCTACATCGGTATCTTCCGCGGCCAGCCCCAGGTCGCCAGAGGTTGGTGGTTCATCGAATGCCTCCTACATAGCCCAGACTCTGCAGGAGCCCGGTTCCGAGCCGCAGGACGCGAGCCGCTTAGGAGCCGAAGGCACCGCAAGTGCCTTGGGAACGAAGAGGCGACGGGGGAAAGACAAAGACAGCACGAGTTCGGAAGGTTCAGAAGTTCCGCATCCCCCAAAGTCGAAGAAGATCTCAATTGCCTGTAACAAATGCCAACGTGAGTGTCTCGTTGACCAGCCTTGTTCACGGCGGTTCTAGCCTAGCCTCGAGGATCAAGCTGATACTTGCCTTCGGAACGGCAGAGCGGAAATCGCGTTGTGATGGGCAAAGGCCAATGTGCGGAGCTTGCATCAGGCATAATACTCATGACTGCCAGTACGCAGCAGTTGCGAGGCGGCGCGGGCCTGGCAAGAACGTCCAAGGGAACTCCCGACGGCCTGGGCAGCGGGCGGGATCGAGTGGCAGCAAACCAAAAGCGAGGCGCGGGAGGGGCAAGGACAGAGGCCCCAGCCCGCCGGACGCTTCCCTTGAGCCGTCTGAACCGCTGTCAGCGAGTGGTCTGCCAGGACCGGGCCTGACAGCTTCGTTCCCATATGCGCGCGCGGCATTCGAACCACAGTTGTCTGGACCAGTGCCCAACTATCCCGGCCTCGCCTACCGTCCGCCGTCATACCACCCCGCGTCCCGTCCATTCACGTTCCTCAGCGTTCGCCCCGGTCCGACCAGTCGCAGTACCACATCTGGCTCCGTCTCTGAGAGCGTCCGGTCCTCCACCACGACCTCCTCCGCCGCCCCCTCCATCCCTGACATAGAGGAGCTCGAGGCAGCCTACCTCGACATGACAGAACTGGACACGTACGATGAATTCCAGGGCCTCACCATCGACCAGGGCCGGCCTCCATCCAACGATCCCCCCCAGTGAGCCTTCCCGGTGCAACATGAGGTGAGTGGACAGTTGGACGCCGAGGACGCGGGCGTGAGACGGAACGCTGACTTCTTCTTCCGCTTCTCGCTCTCGGCCAGCTCAGGGTCTGTTCATTTCCCATGGGCTTCGCCGTAGCCGGCCAACTTTTGACAGCCGCCCTCGCGCGCGCCCCCATTCTCATGCTCATCCACGCTCCAGCGGTGTGCCGGCGGTGCCAGCCACGAACCAGAATCCGAAGACGACCTTATCCTAATCATTACTATGGTACGGATGCCGCGACAACTTATCGAATAAGCTACATCCTATGTGCCCTTAAGACGTAGTGTACTCCCGGTATAGCTTGATACTGTAGATCTCTAGAAGATAATGCGCCTAATACCATACCATCGCAGTCCACGGGCGCTGGCCCGCATTCATCTCATCTCGAAATCGGCACCTAGCGCGTAGACAGTCAGCGCTCCTCCTGCTCCGCGAAAAGCACTGCTGGAGGCTCTTCCTCCGAGCGCTGGGGCGGTCTGCTGATGCTGCCTCAACGCTGCCCTTCGCCCGAGTTGATCTAGGTGTACCGGTCCGCAAGCAAGGTTTAGAGGTGTATGACATAACCATACAGTCATACTTCATTCAATGTCTTGTGAACGAAACACTGGGAATGGTTAAAGGTTGCGCGCCATGAGGATGATGTATGTTCGTACGCACCTGCTTCCTGTAGCTAGAGCAGTCTCCTCGTCAGATCGGACGGAGCCGCTTCGATGTACGAGGAACCCAGACTTCTCGACACAGCGCGGCCAGTTTTAGAGAAGCTTCATGCCCGTCTCCTCGTTGCAGCCCCTCTGGACAAGCCTATTGATCTCTCGCGATCGACTGTGCAGAAGGCTACGCCCACATGCGGTCATATCGCTGCGTTCGAATGCCCAACAGGACTCGGTCTGAACGACTCAAACGGGCGTATACCTTAGCCGCGCTCCCGCGAGGCTGATGGTTGTGGGCGGGCGGCTATTGCCGTTTATGGGCATGACCCGCCGGCGGGGAGGAACCTCGAGGCACAGCAGATGGTGGTGAACATCGACGAGGAGCAGATGTTGTTGAAAGTGATCGGGGGTTGGCTAAATGAACTGTTGCGTGCTCGCGAGAAGACATGGTTTCTCGACGGTCCCCAAGCAAGCTGGATGCACGCCGTCTGAGCAAACGTCGAGGCGCCAGGACCGGAGGGCGGGGGCGAAGGACGGTCTGGGCCTGGCTGTCGGTTCTGTTATTGGGAGGGGAGTGCCGCGAGGGAGCGATGGAGGTGAAACCGCGTTCTGGTCGGAAGGCGGGCCCGGTTGATAGGGCGGAAGGGGGTCCGACGGGGATTGGCCAGAAGAATGGACACTGGATTCGGTTCGGATCGCTGAGCCTGAGCGAGCGGCTACCCCGGCGCCGGGCCCTCGCTGATGGTTGTATGCGTTCGAGAACGGCCCCATCCCCGCACACCCGCACCGTATCCCCTCCGTCATTCCTTGACCTCCCCTCCCATGGAGTCCATTGACCTCCGCCATCGTCGCGCTGAGGTCGACCGCGACCACCTCGCCTACGAGCGCCCACACCCCAACGCCAAGCACAACCACCCGCGCTGCCAACCGCGTCCGCCCCGCCCCGACAGGATGCCAGCCGAGGACGTCTCCGGCTACACACTCATGGTCGCTGGCCGTCGCACCGGCAAGACCTCCTTCCTCCGCCTGCTCTTGGACACCTGCAGCGTCTCCTCCTCAGTCACCCACGAACAGCTCGCGTCCGTGGCCAAGTTCGTCCAGGGCTGCAGTGGCCACACTGCGCATGTCCGGTCCGTGTCTATCGACATTGACATGGCGCCTGACGAGGCAGATGAAGAGCTTCCCCTCACCCTCACTCTCATCGACACACCGTCTCTGGACTTCGACGACGAGCCTTCGTCCCAGCGCACCCTCCAGGAGATCCTCCGACATGTCGAATCGCGGTTGGGAGAAAGTCTGGACGACGTGAGTGCTCCGTGTCTCAAGCGCCCATATAGACCCTGACAAGCCGCGTCGCGTTACAGGAACGCAAAGCCCTTACAGGCTCCCACCTTGTGCATCTGTACGTCCTCCTTTCATTTCCATCTCGCACATCACGGCAGTTAGCACGTTTTGGCGCGACCGCGAGGGCATGCATGAGCCTCTGACAGACCGGAAGTCCGGGGGCACTTCGGTCACGCTCAGCGATCCTCACGCGTTACGGAAGTGGGGCCGTATGAGCCGGAGTAGCATGGCTTCGGCTCACACCCTTTCGCTTCGCCTGAGCCCATGCCGTCATCTACATCGGTGCTTGTGGTCCCTCTTAGGCTCGGTGGGACCGTACGTATTCATAGGGCGTCGTCCGAGATCTTCGGTCGCAGTACCCTCCGCTGTACGTCGGCGCGTCCCAGTGCCAAGTCATCCTCCCGGATTCCCCGACGCGGCCGATGGTTGCTACAGCCAGCTTCTGGTGGCTGCGCGCTCTCCGTCCTACGTCCGTGTTTAGCTCTTCTGCTTCCCGTGTTGATGGGGGACAGCCGGCACCACTTCTCGCCGCGACGGACGAAGAGCGGAGGGATTCATCGGCATGAGACTCATCCACCCGTTTCCTCGACCTTCCGGGAAGTTGGATACTCGGAGCTGTTGTATGGCATTGCTGTATCCTCTCTCTGATCTGTGCGGCACCGTGAGCGGTGTAGTGGAGTCTGTTCAGGGCGGAAGCAACACGTGCCGATGGATCTCGGGGATTCCGCAGTTGTAAGGAATATGGGGCGATGACGCCCTAAATGGCAGTCCCCGCTATTCGGCGATCCGCTACGTTCACCGGACGCAACGTGATTATATCAAGCTCCCGCGCAGCAACGCCAGAGTCTACCAGACACCGGGTCGGGAGTGGTGCCAGACAGCCTGGTCGTAGGGTAAGGCAGACTAGGCGATTGTCGCTCATTGACAAGCCTGTCCGAGAGTTGCCTTGTGATACGTGCTTCTTGACTGCTGTGATATCGTGATGTTCGGCATATGACAGCGATCGAATTGTCGGCTTACACTTTGTCTATAGATGTGTGTATTTCCTCGATCCGGACTACATAGTACCACCCTCCGTATCAGCGCCACCCGTCCCACTTGTACCTCGTGCACGTACCAACAGTCTCTCTACTCATGAGTCTGAACATGTCATCCTGGAACCACCTGTCAGCAACAACCCCATGCTCTGTCGTCCAATCCTTCCAGCCTCCGACATCGCCGCCATTCGCCGATTATCCGCCCGCGTTAACGTCTTGCCTGTCCTCGCTCGTGCAGACACTCTCACGACTGACCGTCTCACCGCGGTGAAGATGGCCATTCGCAGAGATCTCGCGGAGGCTGGTATCGGCTTCGGCATCTTCGACCTCGACATCCCCCTGTATGCACAGCTGGAGTCCAAGGTCGCGAAGAACAAATCCGAGAACGGCTTCATGAAGCACCACCTCAACGGCAACACTCACTCGCCGCCCTCTACGCCGATCACGCCGACACTCTTGCGGCTGCCGTTCTCTTTGATTTCTCCGGATCTATATTCGCACAGCGACGGGGTCAACCACAACCAGCTGTCCCGTCACGAGCTTGTGTACCAGTACGCTCCTTCGAAACGCACCAACGCCAAAAACCAGTCCACCCCGAAAACCGCGCTCGGCAGGTTTGTGAGGAATTATCGGTGGGGATCGCTCGACGTCATGGACGCGAGCCATTGCGAGTTCCTCCACCTCCGTGGTGCTGTCTTCCATCATATGGAGGTATATAACCGTTTTGTCACTCTGCCTAGGCGAGGCTTGCTGACGCGCCGCGATCATATCCTCAGACCTTGCAAAAGTACACTCGGGAGTATTTGTTTGAGAAGTTCAGGGCAGAGGTGCAGCCTACCCCGCCACCTGCCATTCAACCGCCTCAGCAGCCCAGGCGAGTGGAAAACCGCCTGCCGCACATGCACGGCTCGCGTCCGATCCTAGCCATCGACACCGCGCCAGCCCATGCGAACGGGAATGGCCATGTGCCCATGCAGCGCTCAGGCATCGTCAACGGTCACGGAGAGCAACTATCCGCCCAAGTCCTCACCGCGGCCACATTGGCGGAGCTGTCTCCGAAGACAAGCATGTCCTCCAGTAAGCTCGATGACGCTCTTGAACCTTCTCCGTAACGCCGACGTCTATCGCTTCCCTAGGGTCTCAGCGCCAACGTGCCAAGAAGATAACGGTCGCATGCAATTTCTGCAGGTGTAAGTTCAGCCTCGTTCCCATTCTATCTGGACGCGGGTTCTCACATTCTGCTCGCGCCCGCAGCACGGAAGCTCAAGTGCGATGGCGGCAGACCGGCATGCGGACAGTGCTTCAAACGTTCGAACGCGTGCGACTACAGCGCAGGCAACAAACGCCGCAACTCTGCCAAGGCGCGGAAGGAGTACGGCAGCGACAGCGAGGGTGACAGCATCGAGGACGGGACGGCCGACCTGGACCACCACCCTTCTCATTCCCCCGAGCTCTCGTCGTCCGCGCCGCACTCCCGAAGAAGCTCGAACGTCAGCATGCTGCTGACGGACACGCTTCCGCCGCTGAGCGCTGCCGTCGAGCCACGCGAAGAGGCGTCTGCTGTCCTCCCTCCGATCAATTCCCAGGCTGCTGCTGGATACGGCATGCCCCCTGGATCTCGCCGACCGTCGATGAACACGGAGCTGCCGCCGATCGCAACCTTGTCGGGTCCCGGTCCGCAGGACGAGCCCCCGTCGCTTGCGGCGCTTAAGGAGGTCGAGGCTGCCGCCTCGCGGAGGCGCACGTCGTCAGCGAATGCCGCGCTGAACGGTGGTGGTCGCCGCGGTGGTGGTGGGTCGAAGATAGTTGCCTGCAACTTCTGTCGAGGTAGGCGTTTCCCTGGTCCTGCTGGCCATCTTCTGATTTCGATGCATATCGACTGATCACTGTTCCCACCTCCCATAGCTCGCAAGACAAGGTGCGACGGAGCGCACCCCACGTGCAGCAGCTGTTCGCGTCGATCGCTGCGGTGCAACTACGTCAATGATCCGACAAAGGGGCGCGCGAAGAGCACCACGAGTGGCGGCACACCGCCTGACGCGTCCACGTCTGCGTCTGCGTCGTCGCGCTCGTCGCCCGTCGCGTCGTCGTCCGTGTCTGTGAGCGCGTCCAGCGCTCCCGAGTCGGTGGGAAGCCGGCCCCTGAGCTCGTACGGATCGGACATGATGCAAGCCCCGGCGAAGAAAATGCGGCTCGCGCACGAGCTGAGCGCGCCGACGATCGCGGTGCTCGCCGGGCATTGAGCGCGCCCGCGTGTGCCCGTCGACGGACGTGCGAGGTTGCGCGATGTGTAACTGTATCGTCCTCCGTGTGTACGCTTGTCCCCCTCTTTTTTTGTTTCGCTCGCTCTTGTTCTCGTATCTCGTCCAGTTTATGTGACAAGCCAGGGACCGTGCTCGGAAACCTCTGATCCGATTCTGTTTGGTAGACCGCGCATACGCGTATGATCATATCCCCCCGACGTCTTGTTTTGATTCCCCTCCCCAAGTACGATGACCCAGCATTTACCCTCATTCCCGTTCTCCCTTGTTGCACTTGATAGTTGACCGACGTCTGCTTGCTGCCCCGACTCTCCCTCTCCTTGATTCTCGCATCTCTGTTTTGGGTCTTATGCTCGTTCCGCACCGAACCTGTACTATAGCCTTCCCCCACCTCTCCCCCTGTGCTGGCTGCGTTTGCCTACCGCTCCAAAGTGCCGCTGCGTCTCGCTTGCTGCCAAGTATTTACATATTTGATCGCATACGCCCGCGTGGACAACGAAATATTCCTCGAGTCACCTATGGAGACCCGAGAGACTATCATACCCGTCCATTGACCTTAGTGCGAGCACGTGTCTGGTGAAAGTGAACGTATGATGAGTAGTAAGTAGTTGGACCTTGCCGACAACCTTCCATGCCAAGCAGCAAAAACGCGAACTCTTCCGAGTACCGCTTGGTAGATATGGCGATATGACGACGCCACACAGAGCTTGCTGTCCATGTCAAGGCAGTCACGACTGCTGACGGACGGCAGCGTTAACCAATGTGAGAGTTGTGGTGGGAGTTGGCGACAGCAAAACATGAGATCCGCCGGTTAAGCATAAGGATGCGGTGCCAAATAAGGGCAGCGATGGCCGAGAAGACGGGCGGGGATGGCCAGAAAGAAAGGGCGGGACTCGCGGGACTCGGCCGACACTAAGTACATAGTACCACACTCGGCCTGCAATTGCAACTTGGCATTGCCGCTGGCAGTCGTTCTGCTTTGTCCGTCGCGAGTGCAGTGTCGTCTTTCACTCCGAGCCGCTTTGCCTCGCCGCCGCGTTCACATCACCTCTCCGCTGGTCGTCGCTGGTCGCTCTCCCGTCTCTCCCTCTTCCGCCGCTCGTTTCGACACCCCAATAGCCTCGTTCGAGACCCTCCTGTCGACACCCACGCGTCCCCGCCCCCGCCTCTTCGCCTACCAACATGTTCACCTTCCGCCGCAAGCCGAAAAAGTCAGAGGACAACGGCGGCCCGCCCTTCATTCGCACCTCGCCCTCCCTCCCCGAGCTCTCCGCGCAGGGCATCCCCTGGCCTAGCAACCTCGTCGACCTGTCCCAGCTCCCACAGGACACACCCGCGTCTCCCCCTCGCGGTGCGGCCAAGACCTCCTTCACGGCCGACGCTGCCCACCCCGTTCCATTCCACAAGCCGTGGTCGTCCCCGGGCAAGGCAACGGACAGCCCCACTGGGCGCCCGATCGCGTCCTTGTACCTCTCCAGCCCGCCCTCCGCGTTCGAGACCCGCAAGAGCAGCCATGGCTCGGCTCGTCCGCGCCCGAGCCAGAGGCGCAACAGGAACCCCACCACGTTCAATGTCATGGTACGCGGCTCTCGCTCTATTGTATGCACCTCATGGCACTCAACTCCGCCCTCTCGTTGTGTTGCTGTTAGGTGGCTGGCGCGCAAGGCGTCGGCAAGACTTCCCTTCTCCGTTTGCTCTTGGATACGGCGGACATCTCCCCGACCGCCACGGCAGACCAGAAAGCGGCGGTGGAGCGCTTTCTTCGCGGTCCGCCGAAGGGGACGGAGAGCATACAGTCCGCCTGCGTAGAGATCTGCGAGAGCAAGTACGACAGGCTGTTGCTGTCCGTCATCGACACGCCCGGCCTCGACTTCCGGGAGGGACATGAGCTCAAACTGGAACGCCAAGTCTCGACGATCGTGAAGTACCTGGACTCGCAGTTCGCAGACACACTGAATGAGGTGCGTGGCTATCTCGGCTCCTCAGTGCATCGCGTTGCCTTCCCTCCGTCGCGGCGCGACCGCGCCTTGATGTAAGTTCCTGAGAACTGACTTTCCCTGCAGGAGTCAAAGGTCGTGCGTCAAAGCAAAGGAGACCAACACATTCATTTGTCAGTACCAGGCAGCCCCACTTCTTCTCCATGTCCCGCTCACACGTTGTCCAGGTGTATCTATATGATCGACCCCTCGTCCGTCCTGACCGAGGGCGCGCGCCGCGCCCAGTCCTCCTACCCCACCAAAGTGCGCTCAGAGGTGACCGTCTCGTACAAGCCGCCAGACCTCTCGTCCATGTCGGACGACACCGACTCGGAAGACGAGGAGGACGAGAACGGGCTGACGATGTCCCCCGCCGACATCCGCGTCATGCGCCGCATCGCCGCGCGCGCGAACGTGCTCCCCGTCATCGCGCGCGCGGACTCGCTCACGGACGCGAAGCTCGCCGCGGTCAAGAAGGTCGTCCGGCGCGACCTGCGCGCCGCGGACCTCGACTTTGGCGTGTTCGGGCCCGTCGGAGCGGACGACGCCGCGAAGAGCCCGGCCGACGAGCGTGCGAACGGGAACTGGAACGGGCACGGGCACACGAACAGCACCAGCCACGATAGCCAGCACAGCGCCGACGACGCGGCTCAAGCCCACGGCGATGGCAGCCGGCTCGCCAGCGGTTCCCCCGAGCCAAGCCAGGAGAACGAGAAGCCTCAGAAGGAGGAGGCCAACGGCACGGACCAGCAGCAGCAGCAGCAGCCAGAGAACGACGCTGGCGAGCGGCCCTCCCGGCCCGTCATCAAGCTGCGCCCGACGCGGCTCGCGCGGCGGCCCTCACGGTCGCGGTCGCGTCTGGAGATGTCGGAGACGACGCTCGCGGAGGACCCGCACGCGCTCGAGCTGATCAACGACACGGAGAGCGTCGCGAGCGTGCGTTTCTCGGCGCACATCGTCGCGAAGACGGACCTGAGCGCGCAGCTGCCCTTTGCGCTCATCACGCCCGAGCACGTGCGCCGCCACCGCGCCCTCAAGGGCGCCGTCGCATCGCCGTCGGAGGCGGGCGTAAACGGCCACGGCCACGGCTACGGAAACGGGGCGGACGCGCACTCCAGTCAGGGGCATGCGCATGGGAGGAGGGAGTCGATGGTCGCGCCGTCCGAGGACGGGCATGCGCAATCGGTCGCGCAGGGCACGATCACGTCGCCGATCAGCCCTTCGACGACGGCGTCGCTGCGCCACTACCCGTACCTCCAGGGGCCGCCCGCGGACCTGAAGGGCGTGTTCGTGCGCCGGTTCCGGTGGGGGACGGTCGACGTGCTGAACCCGGAGCACTGCGACTTTGCCGCGCTGCGGACGGCCGTGATGTCGACGCACATCAAGGTTCGTCTTTCGTCGTGTTTCGTCGGGCTGCGGTTTCGTCTTCCGTCTTGGCAGACGTTTTGCGCCGCGGCGATACTTTCGCTTCTATTTCTTCCTGTTTCAGCAGAGATGACTAAGGGCTGACGATCGCGCGTGCTTCGTTACAGCTGCTCAAAATCCGGACGAAGGAGGTGCTGTACGAGAAGTACAGGACGGAGAAACTGCTCGCCAGGCGCGCGACGCGCAACATCGGCGAGGACGAGACTCGCAGGTTGCTGGAAGGTGCGTCTCCTATCAGCGGTGCCCGTCCTCGATCGCGATCGTTCGTCCGGCTCATATTCGTCCTCGGCAGATCTGGGATTGTAATTGATGAATTCGGTGCCCTTGACCTGTATCGGTGTTGCTTCCGTATCTACTGATAACCTTATTTTCGGTCGAGCCGCGAGGTATGGCGGCGACCCTTTCTGACGTTCCCTGATGTTATGTGTATCGCTCGCTCCATTCCCTCCCCCCCTTTTACAAGCCTCGGCTTCTCGTGTATACCTCCATGCTGACGTTCTCGTACGCTGTTGACCATACTACCGCTTACGCCTTGTCTGTAGTTTGACCTCTGGATTTTTGTCTTCACGCCTGCGCACGTCTTTCGTTCTTCCGTCCCTCTCCCCCCTCGCATTGTCACCTGTCATCAGTCACCTGTTCTTATGCTGTTCGTCCTCGTCGGAGATGATCCATTCCTTGTTGGTATTTTCCGAATACCTGCTCCATTCTGATACCGGTCGTGCTCGGTAAATGTACGTGTTATATACAGACTATCAGCTCTTGTGCTTCGCCTCGAGTTTCTCTATCTCCTCTTCCGATAGCCCGTCCAGTCTTACAAGAAGATAATCCACCTGCACAAACGGTCAGATATGCCTACTGTGTAGAGCAAGGCGCTGGACGTACCTCTACCTCCTTCGTCAATGGAATGATGTAGTGCTCGTACAGCTCCACGACGCCGTCTACGTCTATCTTCCGGGTCGCCGAGTCGTCTAGCGGTTCGCCTTCCGGGGAGAAGTTGATAGCGTACAGCGACGCTTTGCCCCGCAGCCTCTGCAGGAGCTTCTTCTCGACCTCTGGTTTTGTGATCAGGGCCTCCAACGCCTCGCGGTTGCGCGACCTGATATGTGGGATGAACGCGGCCGGGTTGTCCCTGAACTTGCTCTCCGAGACGAACTTCCCTACATCGTGAAGCGCGGCGAGGTCAGTCCGTGTCGCTTCGGCGTCATCTGTCGGCAGCACACGAGCGTACCGTAGTGGACGCGCTTCGAGATCGCCTGGAGCACCTCCAGGTCGACGAACGCCGCGCTGCCGTAGTTCCCGTCGTCCTCGTACTCGTCGTCGCCCGTGATGCCGTTCGCGCGCTTCACCGCCGCGAGCGCGATTGTCGCCGCGCGGGTGATGCGGGGGACGATGGACTGGGTGTAGAACGAGAGGATGGACGCGTTCACGTTGATCTTGTTCGGGTAGAGAATCGGCGGGTGGGGGAAGGGCTTGAGGATGGGCGGGGGGAGCTCGTTGATGTCCGTGAACGGGTACTCGTCTGGGCTGTATGGCGTCGTCGGGCACAGACACCTCTCCGTCAATCTCCCTCACTTCGCTCTCGTAGGAGTGGAAGCTGGGACGTACCTGGTGTACCTCCTCGCCTTCGCTGCGCGCGACGATCGCGACGGCGCACCGGAATCAGCACACGAGCATGCATGGCGGCCGGATCTTGGAGAGACGGGGATGGAGCTCACCATGGAAGGACTCCGTCTCTTTCAGGAACCACTCCAGCCAGCTGCCATGGAAGCCGATGTCTTTGAGCTCCTGGATCTCGCCGCGCCGGTACGCCTTGGGGTTGTGCGCGAACTGCGCGCGCTCTATGAGCGAGAAGATGATCGTGTCCTCGAGCCGTGTTAGGATCGCGCGAATGCGGTCGAGCGAGAGGGGATCGCCGCCGAGGATGAAGTTCTGTTCTGGGAGAGGGACGCTGGCCATCGCGGGTGTTGTACTCCTCGTTCGAGATGAGTTCGTTGCTCAAGCTTAGAGGGTGCGAACTGGTTGCTCGTTGAAGCACGAAGCTCACGGCGCGCGCGATGCTGAACAGATCGAGTCTTATGGCCGCCGACCACACGCTGTGGCACGGCAATTTCAGGTTATGGGCTCAGCGTCCGTTGTTTAGCACTGCGATATCATGACACCACTCCCTTGTCTCTTGACGGATGGCGATAGAGGTGGCAGTCCAATCTATCAGTCGGTGAGTCGTTTCTAATTTCATACAGGTCCGCCACAGTCGCCGGTGATATGGAGCTCATCAGTTTCGAGTACAGTATCACCGCGGGTTCAACGCTTCCAGTGCAGCGTGCCTTCACAAGCTGAAGACGCCATTATATCGGATAACTGAGGTTACGCCAATGTTATAGATCCTGCTGAGTGGTTGACTCCCGAGCCACCCCCCAACATCATCTATCTATGCAATGAATACTCCTCGTGTTCGAAGTGACGCCTACGGTAGGTTCTGCATTGAACGCTACTGGAGTCCCTTCGATCCGATGGATGCGGCACGGGGTAACTTTAGCGGTCTCTGCACATCCCCCTTCCTCATCTATGACGCCTACTCAACGTAGACCTCTACAATATATCTGTCGATCGATATCACTCCAGAGAAAGTCGCGGTACGGACTCGCCGTCGTGGTGCGAACATGCTGCCCCACATCGGAGCCTAGGTTGAGGCAATTCAGTTCCAAGAACCACCTGTGGAGACTCACCTTCCCCACCTCAAACTGAACGGAACTCTTCTGTGGTGCGCCGTTCCGTCTCTGACCCGTCTACCGCATGGCACGAACGTTCCTACTCGCTACCCAAGTTATTCGAGGCTATCAAGGGCGTTAGCCACGCAATTCCTGTGTGAACGCGCCTCACCCCATCCCCACCTGTTCTGCTTGAGAAGCCTCGGAAGCCTGCCGAGTCGCCGACAAAAGAGACCCTTGTCCTGGTTTCGTGGGGTAGGGTGTCTACGCGTCAAACCCTGAGTGGACAAAGTCCACTTCAAGCTCTGCTGGTGCGCAATGAAAGAGGTAACGTCCCCAAGATCAGCTTGCTCCCACTCCTGAGATCTGGAGCGGGGTTAGATACGATCGCAGTATAAATGGCTTCTTGTGGGTGGGAGTCAGTGGACGTAGCAGCTTACTTGCACTCGCTCACACTAGCCAGCCTACGATTCCTCCCGATCCCTCTTCGAAGACCTCACTATGGCCCCCGCAGTGATCTACGGCTCCCAAATAGAGGAGGCCCCGCAGCTGCTTAACAAGGCCGGCCTGAAGGACTTCTCGTCCGTTGCGAACGGATCGTACGACTGCAAGGAGGACTACAATGGCGACTACCGCTTCGCGCCCATCGAGGAGGCGCAGGTCTCCCGTGCCATGATCAAGCGGTACGCAAGCCGTGCGCCGATCTCCCGCCGAGCTGAAAGCTAACGCACCCGGCTTGCATCACGCAGGTACTTCAACATGATGTACGAGCGCGCCGTCTCGGACGTCGTGATCATCGGCGCGGGCAGCGCGGGCCTCTCCTGCGCGTACCACCTCGCGACCACCCGCCCCGACCTCAAGATCACGATCATCGAGGCGAACGTCGCCCCCGGCGGCGGCGCGTGGCTCGGCGGGCAGCTCATGACGCCCATGGTCGTGCGCAAGCCCGCGGACCGCTTCCTCGCCGAGCTCGGCGTGCCGTTCGAGGACGAGGGCCCGTTCGTCGTCGTGAAGCACGCCGCGCTGTTCACGGCGACCGTCCTCTCGCGCGTGCTCGCGCTGCCGAACGTCGTGCTCATGAACGCGACCGCCGTCGAGGACCTCATCGTCCGCCCGGACCCCAGGTCCGCGGACGGCACGGGCCAGCGCGTGGCCGGCGTCGTGACGAACTGGACGCTCGTCGCGCTCAACCACGACACGCAGAGCTGCATGGACCCGAACGTCATCACCGCCCCGGTCGTCGTCAGCGCGACGGGCCACGACGGGCCCATGGGCGCGTTCTCGGCGAAGCGGCTGGTGAGCATGGGCTTGCTGAAGGAGCTGGGGAACATGCGCGGCTTGGACATGAACCGCGCGGAGCCCGCGATCGTCAACGGCACGCGCGAGGTCGCCCCGGGCTTGATCATGACTGGTACGCCTTTCTTCTCTGTATGCCGTGCGATGTGATGGCTGAGCGGGGGACGGTGTGTAGGCATGGAACTGAGCGAGCACGACGGTTCGAACCGGATGGGCCCCACTTTCGGCGCGATGATGGCGAGCGGAATCAAGGCCGCGCGCGAGGCGATCCGCATCTTCGAGTCGTCGCACATCGTCGACGGCAAGATCATCGCCTGAACGTGAGGGGACGGGTGCGAGAGGAGGAGGGCTTACGAAATACTGGCGAATAGGTAGGTAGGCATTCAGAGACGCCCATATCGGGCGCGCAAGTACTCCCTCTGTAACAAAATCAAATGCACCATTAGCACATACAAGCAATGTACCCAGCACCACTCACGACGTCTACATCAAGTATATATATACGAAGCATCTTCTTGCGTGTCATTCGCACGATCGCGCAAGACCGGTAGGTCGCGACTTCAGCTAGCATTGCGACGTTATCATACTCTTACAACACCAAAAAAACCGAGGCGGGTAAGAGAAAACACAAACCGATCGACCTGGATACGCATATATGTAGGTGAGATGCACCCCGCCGCCACTGTGATAAATTTGTAACCAACGGAAAAGAAGCAAGACCGAGATGGATGGTGAGGTAAATGAAGGCATTATGAGTGTACCGGCTCTATATCACAGGGGACTGCAGCCTGTGCTGTGCTAACGTTCAATATTTCAATATCAAGGAAACCGAAACCAGTCTTGGTGAGGCAATAGAGGGAATAGATGAGGGCATAAAGAAGCAAGTGTACCATATGTGAAAGTCCAACCAGAAGTTCGCAGGATCGCGCGGGGTATCCTCCAGGCAAGGTATGGAGGGGGAACGTAGGGGTCGTCCTGAACGAGCCCGAGCAGGCGGGCGGCCTTCTTGTGCCTTGTTATTACATGCAGACACGTACGTGCCCTTCGTGCTCCGGATCTTCGGGAAGTCAGCAATTTCGGGTTCGTGCGTCTCTTCTACGCGCGACTCGAATGAAGGGAACGGATCCTCGTCATGCGCGAACGGCTCGCGGAGCGAGGGCCGCGGTCTTGGGCTTGGCCCCGTTTCCGGAGAGCGCAGCACCAGCCATCTTCGCTGCCCGCAACAACGCGCTCTTGTTCGGCCTGGGCGTGATCGTCGGTGCCTGGAGGCTGCTGGGGCGTGGACGGGGCTTCGCGGGTGCCTCCGCCTTGGGTGCCGTATTGGCGTTGGCAGCGCCGTTAGCGGCGGTACCGTTGGTGGTACTGGACGGCTTCAGGACAGCGCCTGCCGACTTGGAGGTTGGGGCGGTTGACGGACGGAGTCCTGGGCGGGTGGCAATGGCAGAAGGGGGGCGCGAGAGGGAGGGGCGCGGGGCTGCATGTTGGACGGACGCAGCTGACGGGGGGCGAGAGATGGCAGGACGAGAAGTGGACGTGCCATTGAAGGATTGTCGGGAGGAAGAGCGTGAGGGGACTGACTGTCCAGAAGGCTGGCGGACTGAGGTGGGCGAGGTAAGCTTGATAGAGCCGAGTCTCAAGTGGGATTGGGGGACGTACACATGAAGGACGAGGGCGGCGCGACTTCCTTCGAAGCCCTGAGTGCCGCGCTCTTGTTCAATCGCGGCGCGACAGAGGGCGGGCGCGTGCTCGCAACCTGTATCGACTCCCTTCTCTTGTGTCCTGGGACGCCTTCAAATGTGGCCTTCACGTCTGCCGCACTAGCGATCGAAGGCCTCCTCTTGTCTTCGGGCTTGATCCCCAGCCTAAGCGAAGCCGCGCGGGTCATCCTGGGCGCAATAGTCGGTGCCGCCGTAGACGCGACAGTGATTGTCTCCGAGCGTTTGTGCCCAGGGACGTTCGCAAACGTCTCCGCGAGGCGCTCCTTCGTCGGCGGGGCGCGCTTCTTCTCTTCGATCGGGATGCCCGCACGCAGCGCGGCGGCCTTGGACATTCGCGGGACGATGTCCGGGGCGGCGTGGGTGACAGGAATCGCACGCGCCTTGAATCCAGGTTTTCCCGTACCGTTCACCGACGTGCCCGCGTGCGAGTGCGACGACGTGGCATACTCCGATCCCGCGGCCCCAGTCGACAGCAGCGTGCCCGCGGAGATGCCGAACTCATCGTGCCCTCCGACGTCCGGGAGCTCTGTCGTTGGGAAGGGGGGCGAGGAGGCGAACATGGACTGGATCTGGATTTCGGCGGTCTGTGGGTCTGGGGAGCCCATGACGGCGTTCTGGGCTGCGGAGATACCGTAGAGCGCGCGGATGGAGTTGGGGGTGTCCTTGCGCGCGACCTCGGGGTCAGGGTCGCCCATGAGGGAGTGCCAGACTTCGACGGCGCGGCGGCGCTCGAGGACGTACACCCAGACGGGGCCTCTGGAGCGGGAGAAGGGGACAGATTAAGGATTATGGCAAGGCTGTGGCTGACAGGGGCGCGGGGCACTCACTCTGCGAACGACTCGTAATCGGGCCCGAACAGCTCGAAGAGGGTGTCCGGGTCGGTCTCGACATCGAATTCCATCTGTCTCTCTTTCACAATCTACGTTGTGTGAGGCGCGACGTCTGTACAATTAATCGCGCACGAGGCGGACGCACCTCGAATCCAGCATCCGAGATACGCAACTCGATCTCAAACCTATGGTTGAGCGCATGGTTCTTGATTATGGCCACAGTCCGTGTCGTGGGCGAGATGGGGCTGGAAATAATCTCTCCGGGAGCCTGGTAGGGGGATGAAGGGGTAGACATAGTAATTGGCCGAATAAGCTGTTGGCTCTTGCTGAGAAGTTTACGTGTGGAAGGAGTGGAGAGCCGGCAGCAGTAGCGAGAAAGCAATCAATAAGAAAGGGGACAAGCAGGGAAGCCTAAGACACTCGAGAAAGAAAGCAGAATGAACTGACAGGGCCCCGGAGCAGACGCAGAGGATAACTACCGTTCAAGTTGGACGAGGTTCGAGATGAAGGCTTCCGTATCTCTCCTCCCGCCAACATCTCCTCCAGCGCTAGGACCCCGGCCACGCGCTCCCTGCCCGAGAGCTCCTTGGGCGTGCTCTCCTGCATATTCCGTATTTTTCGCAGGTGTCGATGGTGACACACTACAAGGATCGACGCTTTGTTGCAATCTCTGGCCCCCCTGGCCGTTCTGAGATCCTTCCTGTGGGCGAACCCCAGAATTCTTCCTGTCTTACGTCGTGACGTCGTGACATGTCACCATCACACCCTTGTATCCTGGCGACGCGAGCGCGCTCACCCGTCCTCGAGGCTCCCGTACATCTTGCGGAAGGCTTCTTCCTCCCATCCTCCGGCACTAACAAACGACTTCACTCCTTGTCATCATATCGAGACTGTTTCCCATACGAAGATCTCCCTGTGGACTATCCGTACCGTCCAACTGACGTAGCCTCATCACTAGAAGCCGGGTTGGTGGACCAGAGGAACTCGCGAGATCCAGGTGCGTGAGAGGATCTGCAGGGACAAGCGGCGGCGCAATACAATGTGCCTTCCAGGAACACCGTGATGTCCCTATCCAGTTCCTTGTGGTCATTCGTTCGGTGTGTGACCAGCCACGACTCGTCAGCACACGCCAATTTCCAAGAGTATGCAACCTGAGCCCATGAGACTAAACAAGCTCGAGCGTCGATGCCCTTGGATTCTCACAATACTGATTGACCATGGAACACGTGTCATCTGCATCCAAGAGGACTTGTCCTTGTTTGGATGTTGATATATTTCGTGTCCACTGGGTCGCAACGATTGTCCCATTGATACAGCTGCGTCCCACGCAGTCGTACTGAGGCGCAATGCATACTGAGTTCGTCGTACCGCGTGTCTCAACCTGCCGGTAACAACAACTCTCTGGCAAGACCAACACTTGTTTGGTGACTGAGCATATGCATGTTACTACGCTCCGTTCTCTTGAATCTCGTCAAAGTACAATCGGGGCGTGCTCTCCGGTGATCGTTGTACAGGACGTCGCTTCAGCTGCCCGTCATGGCGGACGCCTGCTCTGGATCAATCTCTCTCAAGTCTCATGCGTCTGCACGCTATCTCAGTTTATTCAATGTTCTCATCACGACGCGCACTTGCCAAACCGGGCTTCTTCGGGGTTTCCAGCATATGTGTTCCGACCTTAGTCCATGAAATATTCGGAAGGATTTTACGCCGGTTGTTCGCTGGCCATGTCAGATATCCCAACGTTGTGGACGAGGGATCGCGAGGTCATTGGCTTTCGTCTCTTGTCTTGATGAGGTCTCTTTCAGGTTTAGCTTTGTTTCACTCCTACTCTTGACTACATATCGGGCACATAGCCAAAATACTAGCGAGTGCAATACGCAGTTTGTCAACGACATGATCTGTTGATAAATGATCCGGATTTGGTTCCGGGGAGCGCAAGTCCGACTGCATCGTATTCAAAGAGCTACCCTTTGAGCTTAGCGTACCTGTGGCGTTGCGCTAGAACTGAGCATCGTATACCTCCAGTCCCAGTCTCGGCCAAAGGAGGCATCTCAATTCCGAAACAACTTCCAATATGAACCGCCTTGCGGCTAACGATCTTCAGAGTGTATAGGGACGCATCGGGTTTATTTGACCATGTATAAGTACGTGCATACATGCACACTTCCACATGACTGTTTGGTTATTGAGACACTAGCTAACCGCGGACTACTGAAGTGTGTAGTACACACGTTTGCATGACGATCGTGCTGGCTAATGCTCACATGCTGCTATGATCTGTTCGCTAACGTCTCGAGGTGTGGATGTCTATGATGACAGTAGATGTTGGCAGCAGCCATCATCACCTACATAGAATAAGCAATCACTCAACTCGCCCCGCATCACATCCGAGCTGGGCGATATGCTGAGACGCTTGCAGGCGTCTCGTTCCTTGAAACGACTTCCTTACCTTTCCCCTCAGCTTCTCAGCCACAGATCCTGCACTCTCATTCGATGATGCGTCGAGAATAAGGGTAGCTGTCCTGACCACGGTGTATCGAAAGGACAGAAGAGCAGAGTGCCCTAGCCGAGACGCGGTGTAATTGCAGTGATTCCTTTCGCTTGGGTTGATGGCCGTTAGCCGAATTCATCCTCATATAGCCTCTGCGTCCCAAACTCGCGTCGGTCGTGCCTCGCTAACGACATTGGTTCAAAGATTCACTCCCGCGAACACGCTGGCGACGGACGCCCTTGGAGCACCGGCCGGGGATCGCATAGGTGTAACCATTCCGCTCTCCATTTAATCGCTGCCTACGCGTGATGGCTCGGGATCAACCCCGCCCTCTCGAAGCTCAGTCTCCTTGAGCAGCTATCTAGGCTGTACGTAGGACGGAACAGCGGTACAACACTCGTCTCTTCTTCCGATAACTCCGGACTCCTTGAATTGAAGGAAGCTGCGAACGGCCTCCCACCGGAGCGGCTGAAGCTTGAGCGAACGAGTAAGCATCCAATCGCTGTGCACGATCACATAGACTTCCTCACCTCATGCTGCCTTAGAACACCTCCAACAGACATCGATCCTTGTGGTCTGGTACGCCCATGCTAAATTCTACGTTCGCTCGCACGCCGAACCAAATGGCTGACGTCTCGTGCGATATATTGAACCCTGCGCTCATACTCATGCCTACTCGCGTGGGCTCACACTGTCTGCGCCGGTACTGGTTCGCCCTTCAACTTCTATTCTTCTCGTGGAGAAGGTTCCGAGCATCGACCACTAGTGATCATGACCTCGCCCTCCGCAATCCCTTTCCTCGGCAACCTCTCCCTCCCTATCCCGCCTGCCATGGACGCGCTCTCAGCTCCCGCACCCCGTTGGGCCTTGCAACTCGCGCACCAGGACGCGCTCGCGCTGTCCGTCGGGGTCGGCACGGTGCGTCTCATGACCAATGATGTCTTTGTCTATTCACACAAACCTGGCGCGCGCAATCGCAGGTGGTCTATCTCATCTTCAAGCGGTTCGAGCCCGTGCTGGTTTACCAGCATTTCTGGCTGCTCGTCGTGCCCCCCGCGCTCGTCGCGGCGTGCGTGCTCTCACCGCACTACGCGCCCGCCCGCGCGGCCCTCATCGCGTTCGGGGTGCACTATGCGACGATCGCGGGCACTACCTTGTTCTATCGCGCGGGGCCATGGCATCCGCTCGCGCAGTACCCAGGCCCGTACGTGTACCGGCTGTCTAAGATCGCGCTGGCGTGGCGGACGAGCGACGGGAAGCAATTCGTACACCTCAGGCGGCTGCACGACCGGTACGGCGACATCGTGCGCATCGGTGAGTGAATCACATGCAGGAAGCCCCTTCGCCCGCCGCCCCCACGAGCTCGACTTGGTCCTTCCCCCCCAGCGCAAAATGCGAGTGAGAGCAGGTTTATGGGCGGGGGAAGCGACCACATGGTCATGGTCGTGGTCGCGGTGTGTGAGCAGAGGTGCGAGCAGGAGCGAATCTGATCTGGACACAATGCGTATTCCCGACAGGCCCGAACGAAGTTTCGATCAGGGACTCGTCGGCGATTATCCCAGTCCTCGGAACGAATGGCCTCCCCAAGGGTCCCCGTAAGTACCGCTCGCGACCTCATGTACTGCCTTCTCGCGCTGTCAGCTAAGTAGACTGCGCGCGATTGAGAGCTGACGCTGACGTTTCTTCTCCGTCTTCTCTTGCTGCTTTCATTTATGGTCGCCATGACGGCAACGTGCGTGCACCTTCGCTACGCTCCCGTCAACGTCATCGCCATGTACGACGAACACAGACTGGGCGGGGCGCAACATGACGGACAGCGCGCAGCAGTTGGTGAGCCTCGTCGACATCCGGGAGCACGCGCGCCGGCGGCGGCCGTGGAACCGTGCGTTCAGCGTGCCTGCGCTCAAGGAGTACGAGGAGTACATCGCGCGGCGTGCGGAGCAGCTCGTCGAGCTCTTCGCCGCGCACGCGAGGGAGGGCAAGCCTGCGAACGCGGGGAAGTGCGTCGGGTCGTTCACGTGAGTTCCCCCCTCTCGACTGTGTCGGCGGAGAGTGGCCTTGTCGCGGAGAAGGGGGACGCTGACGGGATGGGCGCGCGTTCTGGCGATTTGCTTTGCAGGTATGACTTGATGAGTGACATGGCGTTTGGCGGTGGGTCCGAGCAGATGCGGGATGGAGACAAGGATAGTGTGTGGGCGTTGATGGAACAGGGCCTCGCGTGAGTCGTCTTCTCTGCGATAGAGCGATAGAAGGTGGACTGTCTCTCACGCACGTGTCGCTTGAACCCAGAGCGTCGCAGGTCATGGGCCATTGCCCTTGGCTGGGCATTTATTTGGGTTACGTGCCGTTCGCTGCACGTTTGATGAAGCAGCTTCTCGATTACGGCGAGGAGCGCGTACTGGCTAGGGTGAAGAACGGATCGCTGAAGAGGGATATTTTCTACTATCTGGTGAGGGTCGCATCTTGACTCCTTCAGCATCGACAAAAGCCAACTGGAAATGCGAGCATAGAACAACGAGGACGGCGCGGAGAAGGAGGCGCCACCTCTTTCCACTGTCGCGATTGACGGGGCGCTTGCAATTGTGGCAGGATCTGACACCAGTTCTTGCGTGCTCGCCCATGCTCTCTACTGTGTTCTCACCCATCCGGACGTGTACAAGCGTTTGCAGACTGAGGTCGATGCTTTCTTCCCTCCGGGCGAGAACGCATTGGATACCGCGAGGCATGCTGATATGCCATGGTTGAACGCAGTCATGTGAGCAGCAGCTTCTATAGGTACAGGGAGTTCAAACTGACAACGTCTACTCAGTAACGAAACTATGAGAGTGTACCCACCTTTGCCCAGCGGTAGCCAGCGTGCAACTACGCGGGAGACGGGAGGACGTATGGTGGGCCCATAGTATGTGCTACGTTCCATAGATTGACAATTCGAGGAACTTACTCGCCTGTACGCTTCAGCTACATTCCGCCAGAAACGACTGTCAACATACCCTTCTACGTGCTGCACCACGATCCACGGAACTTCTCGCCCAAGACTGACAGCTTCTGGCCTGATCGCTGGCTCATCGCCTCCAGTGAGCAGAAGTTCAAGGGTGCACCCGGAGAAGAGTTCGTGCACAACACTGCTGCTTTCCTTCCGTTCTCGTACGGACCGGCCAATTGCGTGGGCAAGGGGCTCGCGATGCAGGAACTCCGCATGGTGCTGTGTCTGCTCGTCCAGAAACTGCATCTGCGCCTTGCGGATGGATGGGACCCGAAAGTCTACGACGAGCAGATTCTGGAGTGGCTGGTCATGATCAAGCCGTATTTGCCCGTGGTCGTCGAACGCCGGCCTGGGCCTGTGCATTAGGGCGGCTGTGTGGGTGTAGGAATAAGGAGTGATAATCTTATGGCTTTTTATCACCGTAATGCAACGTAATGTAGAGTCTCGCACCATGACGACGGAATATGGAGTCCTGAACGTCGAGCAATGCATGCTGCGTGCGGAAACGAGGGTGCGCCGGGAGAACGGTGGACGCGTGTGCGGCAAGGCACGGGGCGGAGCGAGTCCCGTGACGCGAGCAGGCCGGGGAAGGGTGGAGGCCCTCGCCTGGCCGAGAAGTCGACGAAAGTCGGATGAAGACCGACCACGACCATCGTATACTTCAAGCATTCAACCGCAAGCTGCACCGTCTCTCGTTTATCTCTCCATAGCCATCATGCTCGCCCGCTCGAACGCCCGCAGGCTCCCCGCCCTCGTCATCCGCTCGCTGTCCACCGAGTCTGCGACTTCGTCCGGCCCACAGCCCCCGCCCCCTCCTCCGCCTTCTGCAGGGAAGCACCCTACTGCGAAGTCTGCTTCTCGTTCTCGCTTGAATCCTGCTCCTCGTCCCACTGTTGCACACCGGAGTCAGGTGCTCGCGCACCTCCCGCCTTCCTTTGGCCGGAACCAGATTCTGCCAGTCGCGGACTCTACTCGTGCGCTGTTGGAATCCATCGTCGCGCGCTTTGACGCTCCTATACGGTACGCTTTTGCGTACGGCTCGGGAGTATTTGAGCAGGATGGGTACAAGTCGAGCAACCCACAGAGCCAGGACGGCCCCATGCTCGACTTCATGTTCGCAGTGACGCACCCGGATCACTGGCATTCAATCAACATGAACCAGTTCCCCGGTCACTATCCGTTGGGTGCGAGGACGCTTGGGTCGTCGTTTGTCGCGAGAGTGGAGGAGATTCCACCCGGCGTATGGTTCAACTCTATGGTGAAGATGGACGGGGTGGTGCGTATCTCATTAAAGGCTCCACAATTGACCCCACCGCATCTCCTCAACTGATGTGCTCTGAAACCCTTGGCAGACGATCAAGTACGGGGTGACTACGGTCGATAACCTCTGTTCAGACCTTCTGAACTGGAAGTCGCTTTACCTCTCGGGGCGGATGCACAAACCCATCCGAATCATCAAGGATGATGCCCGCGTCCGCCTCACGCAACAGGTCAACCTCACCTCCGCACTCCGCACCGCGCTCCTCACCCTCCCCGCCGAGTTCTCCGAACGCGAGCTGTTCGAGCGCATCGCCGGCTTCTCGTACGCAGGCGACGTGCGCATGCTCCTCCCTGCCGAGAACCGTGGTAAGGTCGGCAATATCGTGCGCAAGCAGTCCCCACAGTTCAAGGAGCTATATCACCGCCTCGTTGTCGCGCTCCCTGGGGTCCACTGGCCCGCGCATTCAGCGACGATCCAACAGGACACAAGCCCACAAGCGCGCGCCGCGCACCTTCGGAAATTGCCGTCCAATCTCCTCAAGCACCTCACAGACCATTACACGGGGCAAGCGTCGATCCCCGCGAAAGAGGCTGACGAGACCGTCTACTGGGCGAAGCTTGCGGGCGACGCCAGTCTTCCCTCTGTCATTGACCGAGGTACGCGACTTGACACGCGTCGTGTGCTGCGTTGTTACTAATCCTCTCGTGACGTGCTCTACAGAGCTGACCAAGATTGTGCGCGGTCCTTCTGCAATCCAGACGCTCAAGGGCATCGTCAGCGCAGGTCCGGTCAAGAGCGTCCGTTACGCCGCCGAGAAGGTGAACAAGTGGTGGAAGGGCTCCCAGGGGAGCTCAAGTCCAAGCTCGGACGCGGGCTCGAAGCCCTGATGACAGGACCTAGTCCAGTGCTTGTGCGGGCCGCAGCGGACAAAGTTGTATCACGGAGCACCTTCGCATGTCGAGCAGACCATCTTCACAGGTATATCGCATAACTCGTATTCCTCATATATTATGGTATCGTACTACACTTAGAAGGCGATCGGCACGGCTTCGTCACATACTTAACAATTGTATCAATAATCCTTGCACTTGCATCGTTGCAAATACACACCACTTGATACTCCTCCACCTGCAAGTCCATCGTGTGCCTTTATTTCCGTTGTAATATAGTGTTTCGTGTAGGTCGACGGCGATGATCACTCGTGTAATCACAAAATACAGCTTCAACCTTACAGCGCACTCCTTGACGGGGGCCAGGACATGAGTCCTACTCGCGACCCTGATCTCCTTAGTTTGTGGACAGACGGATCGGCTGAGGGGCGGGCCACTTATCAAACTGGGCCGCCATAGAGTAGAAAGGCGCGTACGCCGAACCGTCACCCTTGGGTGCAGGCGCAATCAGCAATCAGCATCCCAAAGCATGTTTATGGTGGCGGCAAGATGGAGTACTCACGATGAATTTGATGGGGAAGCCAGGATCGAACGGCAATGCATCTTCGAGTCTCTTGATATGCTCCGGAGTGAGCACGATGTCGAGGGCCTGAATGTTCGCATGCAGCTGCTCGACTTTGCGCCCTCCGATGATGGGGAATACGTAGGGCATCTTTTGCATTACGTATGCGATGGCGACTAAGGGGAGTTTGTTTCAAGAAGGCATTAGCCAATGCTCAAGCGCTGATACGGTTCATGAGGACTCACCAGCCTGGATAGTGTTGGCTCCGACCTCGGCGGCGACTCCTTCGAGCACCTTCGCAATCGTCTTCTCCGCCTCGGATCGCTCCCAGCCTTCACCCGGCAGCCGTGTACGACCTAAAGACTCCATCAACGAACAGCGCGCGCGGGACCTTCGGACAACGGCTACGAACCCTTCACGCCGGTCTCACGGCGACTTTCCTCCTCGGCGTCGGTGCGGATCTTGCCAGCGCCGAGGACGCCGAACGGGCAAAGGGCCATGCCCTCGGCCTTGACCATGGGGACAATGTCTCGTTCAATGTCGCGATAGACGACGCTCCATGCGCCTTGGTAGACGGCGAACGGTGTCTTCCCGGTCTGGCGGGCGTACATGTTCGCTTTGGACACGATCCAGGCTGGAGTGTCTGAAATTCCCTGGAGAGCGATTTTGGTTTCCCTACACAGGTCCATGCGAGAGAAACTGTGCATACAAGATAGAGGACCTTTCCCGCAGCGACGAGATGGTGAAGGCCATTGACGATTTCTTCAACACCGCATGTCCAGTCCCACTAATATGCGATTGTCAGGAAACGTTCAAAAACAACACAGAAAGCCTTCTCACAAGATGGACGTAGAGAATATCGATGTAGTTGGTGCGCAGCTTCTTAAGCGAACTCTCGACCGAGACGTGCAGGCTCTTCATGTTGTTGCCAATGAAATTTACCCTTTGCGTGATGTTCTCTTCCTTGAACTTGAAAGGCAAGGTGTACTGCGTGGGAATAGTCAGCTGAGCTGTCTCCGTAGCTCTGAGACCACATGATTAGACCGACCTTGGTGGCCAACACGACCTGGTCGCGGATACCACGGAACTCCATCCACTCGCCTATGACCTCCTCAGACGACCCCTCCAGATAGTAATTTGCGGTATCGATGAAGTTGCCCCCTGCGTCAAAGTAAGCGTCGAGGAACTTGAAACTAGTGTCCTTGTCGACCGCGGACCCGACGGTTGCCCCAGACGTGTTCCCGATGCTCATGGCTCCAAGGACAATGGGCGAGACATGTAAACCGGCCAGCGGGGCAAGCTGGCGGTAACGGCCAAGTTTCGTCTTCGGTACGGCTGCCTGGAATTGAGCCATCGTTCTAGAGAGACTACTAGCGGGTTGCGAGATCTGAGTGCTCGTGTTGTGCACTTAGCGTTGGACATTGCGCTTCTTATAATGTAGGTAGTTGGTCGTTGCTGACTGTCCATGATTACGCACGGTCCGTTGATGTTTCCATTCCGTCTTGATACGTAAGTACATGTACTGGCTTCATGACGCATCAGACGCCTCGATCTGTGCTGCAGACCCGGAGCCAGCCGACTTTACAGTGGTGAGTAGTTACCAAGCAGTAGTCCCAGGGCACAGGTATTGCTCTGCCGATGCTGTAGCGCGTGGGGACAGCTGGCGGCGCGAGTTTTCATGACCTGTCTAGTGCTGAGTTATTTGAAGGGAGACTGGCAGCCACTTCTTTGGTCACTCGTATCTCACCTCGGTTACCCTTGCTGGCGCCCCTCTGCATGGCTGACTCGTTATATGCCTAGAATCGGAGCGTGATTGTATGTGGGTGCTCGTTCCTTCATGTGTCGGCGTTCGGAAGTACATTAACCCCACCTGGATGTGTCGTTCCTGTCTCAGCAAATCAAATCATTCACACAACCACTTACGTTTTACAATGACCCTCTCGATGTTACCCACATCCGCCCACCAATATGGACGCATTAGTGTGCCAGGATACGTACTAATAGAGGCCCCAAGTGTCAATTACTAGCCTACTGATACTATTTTGATGAGTCTCTGAGTTGGTGCCAGTTTCTGCTCTTCATATTCATCGGTTTGTGGAAGGGCTGGAACTCTGCCTGTCATCAGATCAGTAAGAGTATGAAGTCTGGCCACGTTTGGGAGGGTCACCACTAGGTGCGACAGATGCCACGGAAGCGCTTAAGTATCTGTATCGTACGACTGACACTGCCACTCGCTTGTCTGGCACGGAGTCACACGGACCGGCGGAATATAACCCTCCGCGCATAATGCAGTCGCTGACTTCCTCATCTCTGTCTCCTCTCCAAACGGGCTACTTCAGGTTCAGCTTAGGGGTGTAGGCTTATATAACTGAGCTGAGGGCCCCTTGTTCAACATGCATCTCACCATTGCTGACTGGATCTCCCGTGTATATGATGATCGAGTTAAATTGCCCTTAGAATTGTTCATACATAACTCAGCTATCGAAATTCGCTGTTCACCACTCGGAAGCTAATGTTCGTTGTCTTACGGTACCGCCGATGCTCATTCCTTTCAGGATCTAGATGAGTCAATGATCATCGCCTCCACTTCTCTAGGGCCATGGCCAGTCTTTCGTCGGACGGATCGACTGAGGCGTGGGCCATTTGTCAAACTCGGCAACCATTGCAAAGTGGGGGATGTACGCGGAACCATCACCCTAAGTTTAAGGCGCTATCAGGATCGCACATGCTACTATCCCTACAACATCCAAACCGGTTGCACTCACAATGGAGCTCAGCTGTACGGGAATCCAGGCTCAAAAGGAACTGCAGCCTCCAGCTGCTTGATATGTTCCGGAGTGAGCACAATTTCCAGAGCTTGGATGTTCGCGTGCAAGTGCTCGACTTTGCGCCCACCAACGATGGGGAAGACGTAGGGCATCTTCTGCATAACGTACGCGATGGCAACTGTGGGAAATGACGCTCAGCTTGAGTAGAGAATAGAGCATTCTTGGAGACGTACCAGCCTGGATAGTGCTGGCGCCTACCTCCGCAGCGACTTTCTCAAGGACCTTCGCAATGACCTTGTGTTGTGGACCGCGCTCCCGAGAATCACCGAGCATCCCGCGACCCGCACGACGTCATCAGCGAAGAACTCAGCCCAAGATGGAGGGGACAGGAGATACAGACCCTTCTCTCCAGTCTCGCGACGCTTCTCTTCCTCGACGTCGGTGCGGATCTTACCCCCAGCAAGGACGTTCCACGGGCACAGTGCCAAGCCCTCTGCCTTGACCATGGGGATGATATCCTGCTCAACATCGCGCTGAGCGACACTCTATGCGCCTTGGTATACGACAAAGGGGGTCTTGCCGGTCTGGCGGGCGTACATGTTGGCCTTTAAGACGACCCAAGCGGGCGTGTCAGAGATTCCCTAAGGGTAGAGCGATAATAACTGAGGATACAAATCACGACAAGGGAACTGCTTGCAAGGTAGAGGACCTTTCCCGCGGCCACGGGGTGATGGAGGCCATTCACTACCTCCTCGACACCACAAGTCCAGTCCCACTGATGCAGTATGACCAGGAGACACTCGATCAGGGGCGCTCTGATGAGACTGCTTACAATGTGGACGTAGAGGATATCGATGTAGTCGGTGCACAGCTTCTTGGGCGAACGCTCGACCGAGATGTGTAGATTCTTCATATTATTGCCAGCAAAATGCGTTTCTGCTTGATGCTTTGATCGGCGAACTTATAGATTAAAGTATACTGTGCCAGAAAACGATCGGCTCAGTATCCCACATACCCTAGAAGATGAACGAGTAGATCGACCTTGGTTGCAACCACAACCTGGCCACGGATTCCGCGAGATTGAATTCACTCGCCGACGAACTTCTCGGAGGACTCGTCTTGGTAGTTATTCGCGGTAGCAATAATATTGCCACCGGCGTTGAAGTAGGCTTCAAGCAGCTTGAAGCTAGAATACTTGTCCATCGCACCCATTCCATATGGCATCCAGTTATCCCCGATGCTCATGCCTCCCAAGACAATGGGTGAAACGTGCAAGCCAGCAAGTGGAGCAAGCTGACGGTGGCGGCCTAGCTTGGTGGCCGGTGCAGGTACCCTGGGGTGTGATATGATCCGTGAAAGACTTTGGGCGAGAGAATACGGCGGAGTGTCTGCGCTATAGAAGCGGCATCGAGCAATGGTTCTTATACCGCGGTTGCATGCTTGTGATTGGACACTCAACGTTACGCGCGCTTCGTGGAGCCTTGCTTCTGAACGCCGAGAGTTCGTGATTGGCAGATATACGTACATTACATTGATGCGCAGCTTGGGGAGTTCCGGGGATTGTAGTAGCTTCATCTCATTTGAGGTTAAGCGCGAGGCTAACATCGAAATCCCTGCAGTCAGGGGCTTTCTCCGAGTCGGACCCACGCTCCAGCTGGCTGCTAGTGTGTGACGCTCCAGGTGGTCTATGGTCTTTGAGTGAGGTGAAGCGGAGGATAAATAGCAACATCCTGGCGGCATACCTGTGGATTCGCTATTCTTCACCGGATGGACTAAGGGTATATCATTCCCTCCATGTGAGAACCAGTCTGCTATAGCTTATTCAAGAGCGCCGTCGTCTATGCATGTGGTCTTGTGAATACCAGGGAGGCAGGTAGACGAAGGCTGGGCGGTTGCTTGCGTTCGGGTGGGCATCTTGCTTCGCTGGGAAGGACGCGTTCACATGCGGTTGCTTATCACTACAGGGGGCGATTTCACAGACTTCCGTTTCGAATCGTGAGAGAGCCTATTGACTCATGAGTTGGAGGACAGGTGCTCTAGGATGACCTCAATATATATCAGGATCCAATGAGGTGCAGTCAACTGTTAGTACAAAAACGTACTACATGCAACACGGACCCACGACCAGCAGACGTACCGTAGAGATCACTCACTTGAAGGCTGCCAGCAGAAAACGCCAAGACTGGGCGTTTCGAGAACCACATGAAACCCGAGATGCACGAAGCTACGACGCACCCGGGTCCCGCATCCTGGTCTGACGACCCTCCCTACAGCTCCTTCCACGCCTGACTGTTCCTCACGCATACACCCCCAACGACGCGCCACAGCCCAAGTACATACACCCTCCGCCCCCGGAATGGGGAGCGACGAGTCCGGAGTATGCGATGCATAGACCGCGAGCCCTGCGCGGAGCGACGGTCAATGGTCCGACAGCGAGGCGAGCAGGAGCTTCGGCAAGCCGTGCTCGAGCTGCTCGCGTCCGTGTCGTTGTCCCTGTCCCGTTCACGCGACCTGCCCTGAGATAGAAGTTGGGTGACGGTATGCCCTGGGAAGAGGACCGTCTCTGCGTCTCTGGGATCAGCGTAAGTGAGGAGACGCAGAAGGAGTCGTCCAGGCCGACGGATGGTAGGGAGGTGAAGAAGGATAGCAAAGGGACGTGGATGGTGGACGGGGAGCGGATCGACGTGTGGACGGCGGCGCAAACGACAAGATGCTGCTGACCGCCACCAGTACACACTAGATAAATTTTTCGATCCTTATAGTTACAGCGCCTTGCATAAGTCCGTGAACGCGCTGATTTTTTCTCTCAGGCGTCTACGCTAAGCGACCTGCCCAAACAGGCCACATGACGGTCACAGGTCTGGAGCCCACGGCCCTCGCTGGCATCACAGACGAGTCTGCGATACACGCGTCTCGCACGTTCATGGTTGTTGACAGTCCATATTGCAGGGAGATGCGCTTGGTGAGGAATGGCACGGTCACTGATGTCGCGGCGACTAGGCACGTAGACTCGGGTCGACGTTCGGCGACGACCCCGTAGGCGAGCGGCGAGGAGCCGAAAGGGGGAAAGCGAGGGAAAGAGGGATAAACGCAACAAGAAACTCGACGGGGCAGAGCGGAGGCCGGCACGAAGGCACAAGACCTACGAAGCTAGTCTTCACGCAGATAGCGACAGACTAGTCCCAATGACCAAGTTATACATTAGCAATCGAAGAGAGATACAACACCATGGTCACTCACCTAGTCCCAATGACCAAGAGGTCGAGATGGGGACTAGGGAGCGCCTAGGGGGGTCCTTATATACTAGAGGGGCTGCTTAGCAACCAAGGACAAGGCACGAGAGCGAGGCAGTGAAGATGACAAAGGGGGAACAAAGGGCGAGAAAGAAAAGGCAAGGGCATGGCGATCACGGGAACGTAGCATGCGGCTGTGGGAACGTATCTACAGTGT